TTATTTTACCTGCAGCTTTTCTGAGTTTGCGTGAGCCGCAGATCTGCAAGTCATCCAGCGGAGCCGCTTCTGGTTTCTGCGCTTCCTTCTGGTCCGACGCTTAAAACAAGCAGAAAACATGCATGAGCAGAACGGCGCAGGTTTTACTCACATTTTAACAACATTTAACAACATTTAGAAACTATAGCATATCGGTTAATCGGCTGTCGAGCTTCTTCGTTCTGGTTTCTTTAGTGCTTTTTATTATTTGAAATGAAAATAAGTTACTTTAATGGGTGAAACCTGCAGTTGGTGTTGGGTTTTTCTCCAGTTAGAGTAACTTCAAGGTTCCAAATGGATTTTTTATTTTTATTTAGAGAAAAAACAAACAAATAAACCAGATTGCATGTTAAAAAACTAAGTGGCCCCTGACACAAATACTCATCACCTTGGTGCTAATAGCTGCCATGGAGCTTCTTTAAAGTCACTCAAGGCGTTTCGTTTCACTTGCTGTTGCACAACTGATAAAATTCAGCATGAAAAGCATCATTATGTCCAGGTTTTGACTAGGCCGCTCCTAAACCTGGGTTTTTCTGTGGGTTAATTTGAGGCATCATGCTTCCACCACCGTGCTTGACTCTGTTTCTGTTAGTTTTGCACCAGACAGATATTTTCCCAAACGTTTGTGGATGATAAAGATGTTTTCAGTAAACGTTGGCTTGACGGGTCTTTGGGCTGTTTCGGGTCAGCAGTGGTTCTGGTCTTGGATCGTTTCATGGAGGCCATTTTTAAAAAATCCAGATGCATAAATAGAAAAAGTCAAAACTTTTGTATCAACTAAACAACTTTAGTAACTTAAAACGTCGAGACTTTGAGAAAACTGTAATATTTGAATGAACTTTTGGATTTTCCTGGTTGGATGCAAAATTCAAAACTTTATCTCTTTTATCTTTGCAGTATTGATGAAATTCAGCATAAAAAGCATCTAAATAAACAAACTTCATGGTTTTGACGAGGCCTCTCCAAAAGCATAACTTTTCTTTGTTTTTTGAAGCATCATGCTGCCACCACCGTGCTTTCCTGTTAGATTTACACCAGATGTACATTTCCCTAAGTTTTGATGCTTTCTAGTAAATGTTGGTGTTTTTTTTTTTTTTGTTCTTTTGGGTCTGAACTTAAAGTCAGTGTTGGTTTACCTGATGTGTTGCTTTTTAAGCTCTTTTAGCCTACTTCATGCTGCCAGGAAGGTTCGATTAAAGTCCTTTAATAAACTTTAAAACCAGAAGGTTTTGACTTCTTACTAAAAGGATGTGTGATGCTGTGGGCCAATTACTATTTCTCACAGATTGGTTTAGTTTTTTTACCGTAATAGATTGAAGAATAATAATAACTCTTTTGTTTGATTTTTAAATGACCTTGTAATTGTCACAACAAAAGCAAACCAGAACAGATTATTTCTCTCAGATGAAAAACATTTGGTTTCCTGATCTTTGGTGCTTTTCTTACATAAAGAGTTTAAAAATAAAACATCAGCAGGAAGCAGTGAAAATCTAAATCTCAACTTGCTGAAGATCAGAATGCAAACTTTATTTAATGGAGAATTAAGTCAAATTTGGCTTAAAAAACATGGAAAACCCGATTTTTGAATCAAATCCAAGAAACTGAACCAACTTTCAAAGACTGATGAGAATAAAAACACAACATGAGAGTAAAACTCTTAACTCTTCTTATCAAACATTGACAGAAATAAAAGACATTCAAGCTTAAATTTGCTTCTTCACAACATAACTGAACACATTTCTGATTCTGTTTGGATAAAACCTGAAAATTTGAATGAACTTTTTCACGTTTCCTGGTTTGATGCAAAACTGAAAACCTGTTTTCATTTCACCACAAACGTTTTTTTCTGCATCTGCATTTAAATTTAAATCCATTTGCGCTTTGCAACAACAAAGATACATTTATCTAAATGTATCTTTTTATAGCATCTCCAATCTAAGGTTAAATAATTCAAACGCAGGAAGAACGTTTCAGCTGTAAAACTAAAACTAAAAATAAAAGATATTTTTAAAATATCTTTGTATTTTGAAATGTTTTCATTTATTTATTTAACAGTGTGCTGATAAAATAACCCTGATGAAGCTGCAACACTTTTCTAATTTTGCACCAATGATCACTTTTGTGTCTCTTCTTGCGTCGGAACACCTGGGATTTTTTTTATAGTCAAAGTAAAATCGCTCAAGTGAGAAAAGCAGCATTTCGTCATTTCTAGGAACTTTTAATTACAAACTTCCTGTTTCCCTGGGGTCTAAATATTATGTGACTCTTCAAGACAGCGGAGGTTTGTCTGGTGTGGGAAAACATCACACATTCATTGTTTGGTACAGAGGAGGATGTGTGATGCTGTGGGCCAGTTCCTACTTGTCAGACTGCAGAATGACGAATAAGATTTTAAATAAAACTTTAGTTTATTCTCACTGAGAACAGAAAATGTGTCTCATTTAGTTTCTGTGTCCAGATGTAAACCTGAGGGAGGTTTATTTTATTTTAAAGCTTTTTATACTAAACTGTAAAGTTTTAGAGGACAAAACTAAAGACGTATTTTGAATTTATTTCTAGATTTTGTGCAGAGACGACATGTACAGTTTCTGATGTGGTTTGTTCGTATCACTCCTCAAAATGGGAAAGACGGGCGCTCTCCTGAACTTTCCCACATCTTGAGTCGAGTTAGAAAAAATTAAAACGAGAAACAATTAGAGATAATTAGTGATGCTGTGGGCCAGCTTCTCTTTCTGAATCAAGTTAATCCAAAACTTGATGAATAAATTTGTATTTGTTTCAGGATCAACATAGATATTTATAAACAGAAAGAAAATAATGCAAACTAAATGGTTTCTGTCTCTGAAAACGATTGTGTTGAAAATCAGGAGTTTTTCTTATTTTTCTGATCTTCCCTGTTTTCTGTTTCATATCCTTCAGTAGATTTATTTCTTTTATTTAATTGCACACAAACATAAAATTCAGACGATAGTAACTGTTTGTGTTTTATTCTGGTTATTTTTAGCCTTTACTTTTCCTAAAAAACACAAATTTGTTTTGAATTTTTCACATATTCCGTTGTTTTTGTCAAACTCAAACTTCCAGTTTTCTCTTTTCTTCCTAAGCTGCAGAAACAATATTTGACTCGGTTTTAAGGCTTCGCTGAACGAACCAAAACATTTGGCGTCCCTTTTATGTTTCATGCTTGTGGTGAAAAGGATAAAACTTTATAGATTTTCTTTGAAAGCAGCCTTTGAACTCCTGCTTCATGTGGAGCAACGAGACGCAATAAAAGCTGCAGCCGACCAGAGGATTTTAGAGCTGCATGTTTTTCTGATGCTGGTTATTTAAACTGCAGCAGATGAGAATAGATTCAAATTATAATCTCTTATTTCACATTAAACCATCAGGAAAAACAAATCATTAAAGTTTTCAGAAGTAATTATTCTTTACTAAATAAGTTGCACTTTTTGTTTGTTTATTTCACATTTTTCCAGTTTAACAGCTGATTTTATTGATCAGCTCTTCATTGCATTTTGGAAGCATCACTTTCTGGTTTATTACTGTTTTTAGTGTTTAAAGCTGCTGTATTGTTATGTAATAACAAACAAATTAAGCTCCAATCTGGTTTTTATGTCAAAACTGCAGAGGAACAATCAATTTTTTCAATATTTTAGTGCAAATTGAAAAGAATTTTCAAAGTAAAGATTTGAGTTACGCTGATGACATATTACTGTTTATTCAAAATCCCCAAATTTCATTGCAATCGGTGTTTCCTTTCAAAATAAGCGGCACAAAACCAGAAGCAGCAAATAAATTCACTACAGTTACATTCACACAGCAGATAAATCTGATTTAATTATTATTTTTTTACCATATGGGACCAATATCTGACTTCTTCAAAAGCCCAAATGACCCAATTCTGATAGTTTCACCCAGTAATAAAATCTAATTTGTGCTACTTTCACATGTGGAACTAAATCTGATGTGTATCTGATCGTTTCAGACGGTTTATTTGACTCCAGCTGTGGATAAACGGCGTTATCTGAACTTTAGTGATGTTAATTAGCTGCTCTTGTTGCTATGGTTGTGCATCATAATCAACTAAAAATCCTTTTATCTGCACAGCATCCAGAACTAGAGGGAATAGATACATTAATGGTTTTAAAATTATAAAGTCAGAAGGAAAGTAACAAAGATCCTCCATCATGTCCGTTAGCTTAGCTTTTTGCTCGTCTGTCTCTTTGTCGTCCTGCAGCATCATTTTGTTCCATATGTGAACAAAATGATCCAAAACAAGATGCCACTCTCGACTTTCTGCCGTTGTTATTCTTGTTGGGAAAATATTCAAAGACTTACCCAAATTTCAACATAAAACAGATATTTTTATCTACTGTTTCCACTGCCTTCATATTAAAAGTTACGGTTTTGTTTAGTCATGTCACTCCAGATTGTGCTCTTTAATTCACTGCTGTTATATTTTATCCCAGCGTTTCTCTTTAATCTGCTAGTTGAAGCTCTGCAGATGCATGGACAGTAACATGTGCAGCCGCCACTTGTGGTTTCATTTTTGTTTTGACAACATCTGTTTGCTCATGTGAATGAGGCTTTGATTCTTGTTTGCGTGGCGCCCCTGTAGGCGGGATTCACCACAGCAGCTGGAGTCTTTTCATAACTTAACCATTTGGCTGCAGATTGACAGACTGCTGTTGCCTAACATCACGTGTTTCATGGACTGACCGGAGCTGAAACAGTCGGTGTGAATGTGAAACCGCCGCGGACACCTGTGATAAAACTGCTGTGATTTCAGATGAGACGACAGAACCAGTGAAGTGAAGCCTCTGACACGGCGCCGCCTGCACATCTGGGTTACCTGTCTTTGATCTGATGAGGGGCGAGCCGCAGCGTTCTGCATGCTGGGTCATTTGGACCGGCGGAGGCTCTTGCTCTGAGTCACTGCGGACGCGCTGCGTGCCTTTAGACACTCGGTGGTTTAAATGCTGCAAAACGAGCCAGCAGTCCTCGCTCTTATGAACACAAAATGTCACAGTTGCCTCTGTTATCTCTGGTTCTGTTTGCATTTCTGACACTTTCCAGGGAGTTAGAGTAAAACTCTGTTCCTCTCTTAAAGTGACAGATCCCTGCAAGCTTCAAATCTCCTCTCTAAGCTCATTTTTCTATTTTTGTTTGAGTTGATTGTATTATTGCACAGAAGCATAAAGATGGCCCGTTTAGGGCCGGTTTATATCGGCAGATAAAGTGTTTTGGGTTCAGTTACACTTTAAAAAGTGTTTTTATTTATAATTTTACACACATCCTGGTTTGTTGTAAATAACTTTCCAGTTTGAGCTTCTTTCATTTTTACATACTTTTACATCATTTCTCTTTTTATTTATCACACACCCTGTTCGCGTTGCTTCAGTCAAACAGAGAAACGTTTTATCATTTTCTCCTCATGTTCTTGTGCGTTTGGTTCTGTGGATTCGTGTTCTGCTCATTGTTCCAGGCTGAAGGATGGAAATTCCCCCGGTGTTTTATTTATTTCAGGTCCTGCTTGTCCGAGTGTGTAAAAAGGAAGTGTGTGTGTGTGTGTGAGTGTGAGATCGGCTGAATGGGTGGCATCCGGCAGCCAATCGCATGCTTCCTCAGAGGAAGCAGGAAGTAACGGGTCCGTCCAATCAGAGGCCTCGACACCTTCAGGAAACCTCAGCTGGAGTGTCAACGCGGTTCAGATTAACTACAGACGTCCCAACTGACACATCTGGGTTTTTTTTCATCCTGCGATAATTTACTCACCTTCCACCTGAAGCGACTCGTCCGCTCTGGACCCGGAGTCTCTCCTGCTTCGTTCGTTCGGCCGTCGTTCCTCTGGGCTGTGTTTCAGAAGTATGGTTGCTCATCTTCCCGTCAGGCTCCAGTCATGTCCGCCGCCGTGTCCGCTCCTTCGCTGAGGAAGAAGAAGTCGCTTGCTCGGAGCTCCAAGCCGAGCGCCAGGATGTGCGTTCGGGAGGAAAGGGAATTCCTGTGAGTTTGAGCTCTTCGTGTGTTTTCCTTCCGCACAACTTTACTCCGTTTGTAACTCGGTGATGCTTTGGTTCATCGTTGGATATCTGGATTGGAAGTGAGAAATGAGAGGAAATCCATTTTTCTAACGTTTCTATTGAAGCACCTTTAAGATTGTGGTAACGAGTCGTAAATAGCAGCAGCTTCACATCAGTGGAAGAACAAAAACACTCAGTGGCCAGAATTAGATTTACTCAACCAACCTGGTTCAACCTGACGCAAGCGAGTTGCAAAAGAAGCACAAGTGGAGCTTTTTGGACATATCATGCTCTGGGCTGCTTGGTGGCTTCAGTCGAAATGGAAATCTTAAAGGGAAAGTTCATATTTTCTGTTTGCATGGAGGTAAATGGAGCAGAGATGCATTTTAAACTTTCTGCATCTTCAGTTTGATGCTAGAAAATAAATTTTCCCTCCAGAAACGAAACAATTAATCTGATTCATCAGATTCTTGAAACAATTGTCAACTAATTTAGTAATTGATTAATGGCTAACTGGAGCATGCAGGGTCTAAAAACAGCAATACAGAGAAGTAATTCAGCCAAAACTGTAAAAAAAAATAAATTCATTTTGCTTTTATGATTAAAAATGTAAATCTGTTCAAGTTTTATCTTCACTAGATTCAGATTTTGTAAATAAAATCCCCATTAAGCATCTTTAGTGATGAAATCGTTAATAAATAAATTATAAACAGTTCAGTTCTACACTGTATTTAAAAGGCTGAACTTTTTCACAGGATGTTTTAGCTGCAGATGCAAACTAGCTGGAAATGATTCGTTCACTACAGGAAAGATCTGTTGGTGCATTTCAGGCAACAAAATTTTTATTTTCTTATTTTGAAAAGGAATTAAGTTGTTTATTTGCATCTGTTTTTGTAACACTCTACTATTATATAAAATGATTAATGTGCCAATTAATCGACAGAATAATCAGTTGCTCTGCAGCCATGTTATCATATTTATAGTTAATTTGTAATGGTTAACAATCACAATAGCATGAGGATAATTAAATTTAGTTTAAGTTAAAATCCATCCCGTTTATCAATGCTGCTTTGCATTTATTCAGACAGGAAAATGATCATTTTAAATGTCAAAAAATGCATTAAATGAATTCCTGCAAAACTTTTCTCTCTGCTGAAATAAAAAGATGTTTTTTTACCATAAGGTAAGATAGTTACTGCTAATAAACGCCCCACAGAACCCCATTCAAGAAAATAATCTGACATATGCTTTTAAACAAAGATTTTAAAGCTTAAAGATAACTTTTATGTTTTTTTGAGTCGCATTTCACCACATAATGCAGCAAATTTAAAACATCTAATTATTTGTTATATTTCACAATAATCAGCTTAAAATTGGATGTTTTTATTGCTTTTAGTTGAACAGTTTTAATGCTTTATTTGCAGTAAACAGCTGAAACTTGATTAAAAGTTTCAAGTTAATTGTTAATTAAAACAATTAAGTTGTTTTAATTAAGATAAAACAAGTTAAACTTCAACATTTAGTCGGTTTTTAGTGACATAATCACTTAAAAAAACTTTTTTTTGATTCTTGGTCATTTTCTTGAAGACACTTCTGCTATTTATTCCAGTGGAGACAAAAGTCTCTAAAAGCATCCCATAGTCTTCCACTTAGTGGTGGTTTCTATGGTGATTCCTCTGCGAGGCGCGACGGCGAGAACACGAGACGCTAACAGGAAGCGTGTTCTCATTTCGAACGAGATGCGGTGAGGAAAGACGGTCGAATCTGGAAGATTCTCGTCTTCAAAGTCTCTGCAACTTTCTGACCGACTTAAAGCTCGGCAGGAAAAAAAATAAAACTTTTTAAACGAAGTGAATTCACAGATTAATTGTGGGAAAAGTTTCATGCAGAGCAGCGAGTCTGACATGCTTGATGTGTTTCCTGTTGAGCTGGATTTCCATATTTGGACACAGGAAGAGATGATGCGCATGAGGACACAGGTACAGAAAGAGGAGCTGCTGCTGCTGCTGCTGTGAGAAAGTTCACTTTCTCTTTCTGTTCTGCTTTCTCTTAGTTCTTTATTTGCAAGAAAACAAGGAATCATTCACATCATTTTGCTAATCTAGAAAATCCACAGGTTCCACAGAATCGTTGCTAAATTAAACCCGTATCATCAAAAATTTGGAAATACTATATCAGTTTCCTCAAATAAAAACTATTTTTGACTGAGCAGCCAAATACCTACAAGCATAAATAATAAAAACAAGGCCAGAATAAAATATGTGTCTTTTATTATTATTATTTAAAACTAAATTTAATCAAAGAAATCTTCCTTGTTATAAAAATAAAAAAAAAAACAGTCAGAATAACATGTGAAATATATTCATGTTTGTGCATTTAGTCCGGCTGGAATGTTTAAGGTTCACAAAGATTTTTTAAGGTCAAACAAAATCAGTATTTTATTTAATAATCTTACTTAATGCACAGCCAATTTTATTATTAAGATGAAAAAACCATCCAAACTAGCCTGGATAAACCACAAATTAACTGGTTACCCACATTGTTTAAGTTCAACGTCAGTCTGGTAGACCTGGAGAAAAAATATCACTTAAACAGCTTCTAACAACACAACGTAAGCTAAAACTGAAAAATGGGACAGTTTTAGTCCATGCATCATTCCTGCAACAGCAGGCCTGTCTGAAGGTCTGCGATTTAAATCCTCTCTAATAATTACACATTTGACTCTTTTAAGAAAACATATATACAGTTTGAGATTTTGGCACTAACAACTTCCCGTAGAACCTTGTTAGACATCTCTAAGAGCTGAAGATGCACTGCATTAATTATTCTTAGATTCAAGACTAATTTCATATATTCATTCTAGTGTTTATTTCCAATTTGGATTATACATTTGGACATTTTTTGTGATTTTGGACCTAATAGATTTCCATAGAACCTTGCTACATGTCTCTGTCATTGTTAGGAGCAACAAGCAGCATGAAATAAAACTTTTCCTAACATTTATGTGTTTATCTCCCTTTAGAAAAGGTATTTGAGATTTTGGGACTAGCATGCTAAATGCTGAGCGGCTTCAATAACCTTCTGAGATAAATTAATGTAAACCTACTTGCATCTATTCTCAGTATTTATATCCCATTTGGATTATAAATTTAAGCACTTCTGTGATTTTGGCTCTGTAGGGCTTCCATAAAAACCCTATAACATATATCAGTCATTGTCAGGAGCATGAAATAAAACTTTTTCTGATGAATGCACATTTAGGTCAGTTACGGGTTTTTCTTTGGTTTTTCTGGCACCAACAGTTTTCCGTAGAAATCGAACTTTGAGCGCTTCATTAATCACTTTCTTCTGATATTCATCTCCATGAGCCCTCCTGCTTCTACTCACTTGTTTCCACCTGATATCTCAAAAAGTGCAGCTTTGACAACTGCTGTGGTCTCAGGAAGGGGAACAGGAAACGAGCTGCGGCTTCGAAGGCGTCGCTCGCGTCTACTTCCTGGGCCGGACGGGCCCGTCGCAGCTGGGGCGGTGGTTTACCTCTGACCTTTAAGGCAGGCTGAGAAGGGGGGGGTCTTTGTGTCTGCAGTGGGGCTTGCAGCATGCTGTTAGTCACAGCTTCGAGTTAGCCGCAATCCATTTTCAGTAAAAGGCACCTGGCAGCTGCTGGAAGTCTTTGCAGAGCAACTGCTGCAGGTTTGACTTTTAGCATATGGCTGCGGAAATGTAAACAGATTTATCTCTATTGCTTTGGTTTGTAAAACCACGACAAGAACTATTAAAAAAAGAGATGAATCAGGTTTGGCAGATTTCTGAATCTTTGAACAGTAATGCTAATAATTAGCATGAAAGTGGAAAAGAACCACAAAAACTCACTAATAATCGTTATAAAGTCAGTTTTATTCCATCTGCCACTGTAGAATCTTCTGCTTCATGATGTGTTCACTGTTCGCTAACTACGTTTTCAACTGGAGGTTTTCCTAAACGCAGCGCAGGGCCGGAGTTAACAGGACCAGGGCTCCGGGCTGGAGCTGATTTTGGTGCCCGTCCACAAAAACATCTTTTACTGCTGGAAATATTGATGCATGAAATATCAGCTAAAAGATTTGCTGTAACTTCATTATTTTCAAATAATTTAGTGTCATTTGCATTCGTAAAACATGCTTTTATTTTGAAACTAATCATTTTGGTGCCCCATACGTCAGCTTTAAGGTTAAAATAGGAACTTATAGGGAATAAAGAGACTTTGTGTTTGGAAACATAACAGAAACAAAATGACCAGATGAGGAAATAATCTGTTGCCTCTTTGACTGCAGGTTTTTCACATCTCTAAAAGTTTCCGTGGCAGAAAAACGTCATGCCAAGTGAACATTTCTTACTGACGTAATTTCATTCAAACTTGTCATTAAGTGGGAACCATTAAAACCTCTTCAGCTCCTGGACAGTTCAAATTATTCTTTGTAATTTATTAAATGTGAATTTTAGTTCCATATTAAATTAGAAAAATCTGTTTTTATGAGTTAAATTCACAACAAAATAGAAAAAAATTTTTTTTTTCCAAAGGTGGAAAATATAACCACAGAATATTCTTGCAGAAAAACTTTTTGTATTAAATATAAACGTAAACCTGAAAAACTACAAGTGTCGCATAGATTAATAATATTTTAACAATTGGACTTGGCAGAAACAAAATAATTTTCCAGGTTAATGAGATGAAGCTTCAGAAAACGATCAGTTTCAAACTGTGACGCTTTTGCATTTAATTTTTTGTTTGTTTTTCAGTTAAATTGAACAAAGAAACATTATTTTATTAATTTAATGCCACTGACTCAACAGTCGGAATATAAAATCTCACAGAAATGTTTAGTTTTTATTTTATTTTATGGAACTTGTTCCGTTGTGTCTGACCGTTTAGTTTCAGGTTTGTTGGTTTTTGCTGAGGTAATTTAGCAGGAATCCTGTCCAGAGCGGCGACCAGTCAGGGGTTTTCCACCACGACGGTTTCAGTTTCCTCTTTACTGAACGACGACTCCTTTAGCCGATCGCTGGTGGAAAAACTAAACCATCCAGTAGAAAACGTGTCCAAACCTTCACACATGAGTTATTATTTCATTAAAATAACAAACAGCTTTTTAATTTAATTTATCTCTGTTAAATATTCTTCAACAATAAATAAACAATGTTCTAATGGACAAAACCTGAATAATGTGATCAGAAACATGAATGTTGTCTTCAGGTTTGTTTGGTTCCAAAATCCTTCCAAATAAATTAAAAGATAACTCATTTGTTTGTTTTACATTACAAGACATCGTGAGGCTTTTGTAAATGATTATTTTATTTATCAATTAATCGATTATTCTGGGGATTAATAAAATAATTGCTTATTGTGCAGATTTTTAATTTAAGAATCTTTCTCACATTTTTAGAAATACATTAAAAATGTGAATAAACAAATTTTAATTCCTTTTTAGAGAAGAAAATAAACATTTTATTGCACAAAATGCAATAACTTTTCTTTAATAAATGCTTGATTATTGTTAGCAAAGGATGCAACAAATGATAAAATTATAATTTGTAGATTATATTGGATGGAAAAAGGTATTTAACAGATTCTGAACCAAGTGAAGCTGAAACTGCCAAATCAGGTAGAAAATATTTGCAAGCAAAGGTTTATTTTGTTTGTCTTAGATTCAAAATGTTTGTATTTTTGTTCAGTGCTTTTAATGTTTTCTGTCAGCAAACAGCCTTTTTAGAGTCTATATTCTCCAATTAACTGATTATTGATTCAATAATCGATTAATTGCGATTAATCGTTTAAGCTTTGGTGCTTTATAGGACGTAATAGAGAAGTCAAACAAACTAGGAAGGTTTAAGTGTCTTTCTTGTAAACTTTAAAACTTAATGCAGCTTTTCATGTCAAAGTATTTCCTGTAATTTCCTGGAAGACGACGACGGTGGTTGGAACAGGAGATGCGCTAGTACATCTGTTTGTGAGCGCCTTCATTCACTGAGCCTCAGCTCCCCCAATCACACAAACATGCAGTTCTCAGATCCTCCATGTTTTCTACTTCTTCTCATCATGACATCCTCTTCCTGTATTTACATCTGGCTCTTCTGCTCTGGACTCGTCTGACCCATAAAAGTTCTCACCCGCTTTGCAGTGACATGTTCTGGTTGGCCTGGAGTTTCCGTTGTGTGTAAAAAAACCAAACCGCGGGAAAAAGTTACAAATTCATCAGCCGATTGAGAACCGCAGGTGTGAAAATCATTACATATCATTAACACGTTCGATGTGTTCTCTCATTAGTGAAAAATGACACCCTGAGATTTTATTGGTTATCTGACTTAACCGCATGAGTTTGCAAAAGTTATGCCACATTCAGCCACTTGAAATTATTCTGAGGGCCACAAATGGCCCCCGCGCCACAGCTTGAACACCTCAGATCTACAGGAAATCATATTCTTTGTCATGTAGGTCAAACTTTTATACTTTGTGATTTTATAAGGGTTATAAAAGTCAGTTTATGCTCCTATAAATCCCAGAAACGAGAAGTTTAATTGATGATGTATTATTGCTTTATGAGAGGAAATTAACTCATCTAAAATGATTCAACTGGCCATATTCCCTCCTAACTCCTGAATTTGTCGCCTTGATCTCGTTGTGATAAATCGGCTGCATGCCTGCAGCTGCAGCCTCAGGTGAAAGCAGATTGGCATCAGTGCGAACGGGTCCAGACATATTGTGTTTATTCTCAGAGGAAACATGATCCAGTGAGTCTGGTATGCAAGCTGCTTCCCCTGCTGCCATCAGCAGCTCTCTGATCGTTATCTGCAACCAGAAAAACAAATAAAAGAGGAAAAAGTCGAGGTGAAACGGTTCTCAGAAGAAACAAATGAGTCATTTAAGCTGCCGGCGCCACTAGCAATATGTAAAAGGTAAAAAACTTGATGCATATATGCAAATATTTGGCATTTTAAGACAATAACTGGATAGAATATCATTAATTAAGACGACCAATAGCTGCTATTATCACAAAATACTTAGAAATGTTTCCAATAATCACTTAGACTTGGTAAAGCCAGTAATGCAGTGTCTATACTTTGAGTTGTGTCACATATTTGCTTCTATTATAAGTTAATTCATTATGAAACATATTGAGTTTTAATTTAAACAATTTAACATGGCACCTTTTTGCTTCGTGATAGCACTGCAAAAACACAATATTTTAGTTTATTCCTTATTGTAAATGTCTTAGTACATTTGAAATAAGACAAAGCAAAATTACACACGACTTTTCATCAGAGGAGCTTTTTTTACGTCAATATTTCACTTAAAAGACATTTTTTCATTGTAAAACGTGAAATAATTTGACAAATTGAACCAGTACTTCAGTCAGTATTAAGGAATTATCAGTAATAAATAGAAGATGATTCTTCTGTCCTTCGATATTTGTGAATTGAGAATAAATTCTCATTAGAATGATGAGAAAACTCAAACCAATCTGTGCTGCGTTTCCCTGTGAAAACAGAGAAATGCTGGTTGCAGAGTCGCGACGCCGTCGTGTTGCTGCTCTGCAGGACTGCAGGATTTCCTCCTGGGGTGATAAACAGCCGTTCTGACCCAGTTCTGACCCAGATTAGGCTTAGTGACAGAGTTGTGTGTTAGCAGTCAGTTGATAGCATCTGGATTCCCTCTTCATATCCAAGTGAAAGCTCAGCAGAGCTGCCAGAGGTCAGAGGTCAGACACAGTGTAAGGCTCCTCCCTGCTGATTTACTGTCAAAGAATTTGCTTTCCTGTTTCATCTCTGTGTTTTCAGACAAACATCACAGTAATGAAACTTATCGCTGTTTCTACAAACATCATTCCTCTAGAGTGAAATTATTCAATGTTTAAAGTTAAAACCTGTTTATTTAGCAAAGATGAGCAACATTGAAATATAGTCAGTTTATTTCATTTTATTCACGATTACAAAAGTTAATCATGAGTTATTCGTGTAGCTAAAGAAAAATTTAGTAACAGATTTTTTTTAAAGCAGGTAAAAACACTGAAATGTTAACAGGACAGAAAAACCAGAAAGGCAGAAACTAGTGAGCTAACGAGACTGAACTTTGTTACCGTCCTGATGTAGATTTCTAAAAGTCAGCTTCGTAACAACGCTCAAAAAAATGGTTTTATAAAAGCCTAATTGTCGGTACTTTCTCCTGAGGTTCTTCCAGTTCTTTGGGTTTTGGACTTCAGACACTCGTGACGTGACCACACCCTCCTTGATTCTGGTGATATCCTGGAAACCACACATAAACTCATTTGGAGATTAAAACTTCATTAAGAGTGTTTACTTTATGCTCTCCACACACACACACACACACACACACACACACACACACACACACACACACACACACACACACACACACACACACACTCAGATTTTCCCTCTGAACTCCAGAGAACGGACTCAGGATGCCTTGTCGTATCTGAATCCATCTGTGTTCAGGCAGATTTCTGTGCCTGCCTCCATGGAGCGCTATCTCAGTTTGACGGTGATGATGTAAGACGGAGAATGTAAGAGATAAAACGGCAGACAGACAGAGAGAGAGAGGGAGCTGAAGGAAAGAAAGCAGGAGTTCAGATGGACGGTTCGGCCCGGATCGGATCAGACGCAGCAGGAAACCCGGTCAGGAAAGAGTCCAACCAAAATGCCGTTTCTGTCATGGACCTTCTGCTGACTGTAGCCTCCACAGTTTTCAGCTCCACAGTCAGGATGCTGCGGGAAAATACCGTTATCCAGAGCATTAGCAAAAGACTCAGCAGGAGGTAGAGGAGAACTTGGATGTTACATTTTCAGTTTGTTTCTAAGTGAAGAAGGAATCACTTCATTGGACTGAAAGAGGAAAACGACGGATTGATTTTCATGTTTTTCTGCTTTTTTTCCTCCCCGCCTGCAGAACCATGTCGTTTCCAGAGTTGTACTGGCCGGTGCCGATGCGAGCCATCGGGGCTCAGAACCTCCTCACGATGCCGGGAGGAGTTTCCACCGCAGGATACCTGCACAAGAAGGGAGGCAGTCAGTTCAGCCTCATGAAATGTGAGTCAAACAATCAAACTGATCATTTCTGCCTTGTTGATTAGACGGATAAAAACATTCCTCATGTACGTTGTTGTCTTCAGGGCCTTTGAGGTACATAATCATCCACAAGGGTTGCGTGTACTACTTCAAAAGCAGTACCTCTGCTTCACCACAGGGGGCGTTCTCTCTCAACGGCTACAACAGGTTGGTGAAAAGTTTTATGTCTTGTTTAGCAGATTTTGCTTGATTTAAAACAAACTAGTTGTAGCATTTGGACTAAAACCACCATTTATGGCTAATATTAGCCCAAATACCCGGTTCTCCCAAAATAAGTGAAATGAGACCAATTTAAATGAGGTTTTCTAAAGTACATCATTAAACCAGCCATGTTTAATCTGCTTTGGTCCAACTCTTGTTAATTTACTGTAAAGTCCAGTTTGTTTGAGATCTGGTCTCAGTTTAGTTTAAGTGAACTGTGGTTCGCTAAGCAGACTAGGAACTGCTCCAAAAGCAGGAAGTGAGCGAAAGTAAGGCATTATGGGTAAATACAACCAAAACAAACATGTTCATCTAGCGCCGGCAGGAGAAATGGCTCCTGGTTTTTAACCAAAGACAAGAGAAATCCTCCAACCACTAAAATCTGAAAATTGCATCCAATAATTATGTAGCAATAAATCTCTGATCATACATTTGTTGGGTTCAACAGAGTGATGAGGGCAGCAGAGGAGACGACGTCCAGCAACGTTTTTCCCTTTAAAGTCGTCCACTTCAGTAAGAAACACAGAACGTGGTACTTTTCTGCAGCGAGCGAAGACGAGCGACGGGTGAGAACATCACTGAGCCGTTAACGCCTGATGTTTCTGCTCTCTGCAGGGAGAAGCTGACTTCTGGTTGTTTTGTCTTACAGAAATGGATGCGATCTCTGCGAAGGGAAATAGATCACTATAACGACAGAAAAGAGGCCCAAATTTCAAGGTAAGAATCTGGTCAAACCTACTATTTTAAAGTACAAAAGCATGAATTAAAATGCTAAATAAGGTATAAAACATGAACAAGACAGAAGCACCTATGACACACATCAAAGAGCAATTTTCAATCTCGTCTGCACGTATTTGCACTGCTGAAGGAAACCCACATGCCTAGAATAAACTCTCACTTACAAATAAGTCAGATGAACTTTAACATTTGTGTTCATTTCTGTATGTTTGAACTATCTGACTACATTTGGTCTCCCAGGCTATGCTGTATTTCAGACTATAACTGAAATATGTTATCCCTGTAGATTCAAACAAGTTCAAGAGTAGCAAATGTTGGCTAACACTATCAAGCTAGACAGCTGCTTCTTTAGAAACTTTATTTTGTAATTTGTTACATTTTCCTTGTTGCCACAGTGACTTGGACTCAGACGCAGACTTTTATGGCACCATAGAGAGACCCATGGAAATCAAACACGCTGTTGACACAGGAGATGATGGTAAGACCACGCTAACACCTTCAGCAATGCTCCACCATTTAACCATCTATGAAACTTTAACATTTTCTCTCTTTATGTAAAGATTACGTTGACGAGGACGATGATGAAGAAGATGAAGAAGACTATCTGAAGCCAGACGGTGACGGCTCACCAACATCTTCAGGTAAAACCGTCTGAAAAACAATTGCAAGCACATTATATCAATAGTTATTGATTTTTTTTGTTTTGAATATCTCAAATGCTGCTAATCTGGCAGTGTGACATTTCTTTCATCCACAATTTTCACTTTACACCATTGTAGTTTATTTTTAAGCAGTTATGATGCAAAACCTTAAACTGCTGCTGCGCAAGTTACTCAACAGGCTGTTGCTAAGCAACCGAAGATTGAGTGAGTTAGTTGATGCCGCTAATCTTGCTCTGCTGGTCATGAGGAGTTCAGTGGCTAAAGCTAAAGGCTACATCCACCAGACCAGTCATATTGGTCAGATGTATTATCTATTGATATCGATCAAAAGTCAATAAATATTGTTGATGTTGGTCCAGCCTGACTTGCAACACCTTTGGTTCTGTTCATATTTTCTAGAACATGGTAGAAGTTACTCCACATCTCTGGGAAAAGCTCTTTCAGTGTCTAAGTTGGTGATTTCCTGTCCCTGCAGGTCGACCCAACGGGCCGCCTCCTTCCTACCCTCCTCCTCCGGTTCCAGCCACTTCGCTCCGTCGAGATTCCAGTCCAAATGTCCAGAAAGCCACGCTTCTTCCTATTTCTGGACAACACAGAAACCCAACGAGCCCACTCCCCAAAAAGCCCTCCATTCCTCACCAGCCTCTCCAGAAAGAGCAAAGCAAAGGTCCGCCCCCTCCTCTGCCCTTTGCCCCTCACCTGAAGTCGCCGTCTCCGACGCCTCCTCCTGCTCTTCCTCCCAGCTCCTTGAAAACAGTTCAGAACAGGACGGTGTCTTTGGGGAATACTGCCAACGATCGGAGAGACCTGAGGTCCCACTCTACCGTCCAGGTCCACTCGCCGGCCACTCTGCCCATCTGTGACCAGCTGCACAACAGGATGGTCCTGAACGGCCCGGTCAACAGCTCCCCAAACACAGGCAGTACCCAGTCTCTGGGAAACCACTGCCTTCGGACCAAGCCGTCCGTACCGCTGCCCCCCACCGAGGTCAACCTGCTGTCCACCAGTGCCCCGTCGCTGCCTGCCAAACCGCCATCGTCTCCGCTTCTCAAGTCTGGACTTCACAACAAGCCGACGATACCAAAACCGCCAACGATACCGAAACCCCCACCGACGGCCAAACCGCCGCAGACTCTGGAGAAGCCAAAGTCTCCGTTTCAGTAAGTCACATTCAAGGATCACCGTTAGCCACAGTTTGGGTGTCAGATGTTTGGTCATAATTCTTGACAGTTTGGCTACATTCAGGTGAATGCCACACACATCTGACTCTTTCAATTCAAACCACCAATAAGTGTCACTTCCATATGTGAGACTAATTCGGACACATATTCGATTGTTTTCAAAGCTTTTGCAGTCTGAATTCTCACGTCGCCTTTAATTGACTTGAGATATGCATCATTATTCTGCACCAGAAGGAGCCAAACCAAACAACTGCTGAAATAAAAGAAAAACAATCAATCTCACCAGTCATGGTTCCCACTGCGTCTCAAACTGATTCCTTTCCAATGCTCCACTATCTTCAAGCATCCAGAAACCAAAACAGTTGGCAGGTTCTGGTCCATGTAAAGCTGCTTCTTCTTTGTCACGTCTCCATCTCGCTGGTTAATGTTTGGTTTGGTTGAAGCCAATTTGGGTGCGTCTTCATTACAGCCTGTTCTTTGCTGCTGTGGTGTGATTATTGGGAATGTGCTTGACACTCCGATGATTTTATTTGCAGTGACATTCTGCAACGGAGAACCTCAGGTTGTGGTTTTCATGGACTTAAATAAACCCAGATATTTAATTTTGTCATAAAACAAAGTGCCAAGTAAAATTAAATCTCTGCGTCATCCACGAATTTCACAACCGTCCAGTGCAGTGTTTAGATTTAGTTGTTTTGGAGAGTTTGTTAGGTTTGGCTTTTGCTCATGCATTGACGTAAATCACAGGCCAATAAACGGAGACGCCGCTTGGTGCAACTTGTACCACCTCTGGAAGAAAACAGAGGAAACAAAGAACCAGTTAAAGATGCCTTAATGAGTCAGTCATTTGATGCAGGTGTGTTGGAACAAGGACACTTCTAAAAGTTTCAGGACTGAATTTGGGGACCGTTTGGTCTAAAAGCTGTCCGGTTTGGTTTAAAAAGTTCCAGTTAACCAGTTGTGTCCACAGTGGAAGTTTAGATCTTCTAAACAGAAAATGTTAAGTAAAAGACAACAAATTGTTCTTTACCTTTAGTAAGTCATGACCCAAACATCCAGTGACCTTTCACCAGAAACACACTTGGTCCCGTCCGGCTGTTACAGTTGGCCAAACACACCAGAGGCTTTGAGAGAAGATTCTCATTCTTCTTGCTGGATATGAACAGAAAACATTTTATAGACAAACAAAATTGAAAATAATTGACCATAAAAAGTTAAATAACTGTAAACATTAAATTAAACATTACACTAATGTTCTTTTTATTAAAATATAACTTGTTTAATTTATCGTAGTGCCGGTAAGAGGTGAAGAATTCACCATAATATTTTAAATGGGGAGAAAAATTATATTTTTGAAACTGAGGAGTTTCAACTTTGGGATTTTGGCCTTGTGTAAAACTTTGACAATATTCAGTTAAACCGTTTTCTCCACTGCCTCCTTTATTGCACCAATTTCTCATAATTTTCTGACTTTATTCTTGTATTTTTTTTTCTTTATTGTAAAGGTTTTTCATGTTTCTGATTGTTACGGTAGATAAATATGTGAGTCCAGGGAGGAGATCTGAGTGAATTAGATGAATCTGCTTCTCTAACGAGTGTTTTCTTGTCAGAAGAGCATCTCCAGACGGGCAGAGTTTCCGTTCGCTGGGAGAGGAGATCCCCGCTGATTTCAGGAAGAAACCAAAGTCATCCAAACACAGACACGATTCCGATGACGACTATGAAAATGTAAGCAATCTACACAAAACACTAAGCAGCTTTTGGGCCTTTAGTCTCAGTTTGGTGACATTTTTTGTATATTTTTCTGTATTTTGTTAAAGTTAAACCTGAGTTGTTTCTGTGTGCAGGTGCAGCTGCCAGACTCAGTTTTCATCGACTCCACTGAAACCACCTTTGTAGAAATGTAAGACACTTTTTAATGCTTCACAGATTAAAAACGCTTTAAAACCAAAACCTACCGACACTTTTCTGGACTTTTACTGCCCCCTAGTGGCAAAACCCAACACCTCTGATTTCTTCAATTATTTTGTTTTTCTCAGCTTTTGACATTCGTACATTCTTGAAGACATTTTCATATATATTCAGTCTTTTATTAATAATAAAAACCATGTGTTGATGTTTTCCTCTTCAGGCTTTTTAAAGAGTGCTGTGCTAATCCGCCGGACGGACTCTACGGCATCAGAAACTCAGGAACCAAAACTGCAAAGGTAGAAAACAAAAACACCACACATCCTTTAAAATCTGCCTGATTTAATTCAATCTTGTGTTTCTTCCTCTGTTTAAGTACAGAAATTCTAAACTTCAGACTTTTCCACAGCAGACCTCATAGTTTCCTCTGAATAGTTTACTGTTTTAAAATTATTTTACCAAGAATAATTGGTAAAATAATTCTTAATCAAAATTAAATTTTAATCAAAAATTTAACTTTGATTAAAATTAAATTTAATACAAGCCTGGATAATACAATATATATATAATCTACACTTTTAAGATAGTTTCATGTGAAATTATTTGGATTTTTCTCATATTTACATGATAGTTTTATTTTGAGGCTGTTTTGGGGAAATAACATATTTTTGAAGTTGTTTTTAAGGACCTAATTTAATAGTTTTATGCATTAATTTTTAACAAAAAGTGAAATGTTAAATCCAATTTAATGGTTTTATCTCTGAAATTATGGGTTAAAGTTCTTCAGAAGACAGTATTTCCTTGTAAAACTTTTGGAAACTTAATATTTGTTAAAATAATTCTCCGTGAAAAGTTGTTTTTTTTTTTTATGTAATTTTAATAGATTTACTTTGAGGTGTTTTTGAGAGGATAACATCTTTCTGAATGTGCTGAAGTTGTTTTTAAAGACCTACTTCGATAGTTTTGTGACGTATAACAAAAAGTGAAGAGTTAAAGTAGCCAGAAGTGAAACGCCTGATTAAAGGATATTTTTACGTGTTTTTCAGGTTCTGGTGGTTTGGGACGTCGCTATAAACAAGGCCAGAAACTACAGGCTGTTTGAAGAGGTAAGGAATAATAATAATAATAATAATAATAATAATAATAGTAACAGCGCCCCCTGCTGTATTATAATGACTCTATGTTGGAAATAAGTCATTAACGTCTCATTTCTGTCTGCTGACAGGATGACAGCATATTTCTGGAGAGCGACCTGACCTTCCCCAACCTGGCAGCGCTGGTTGAACACTACTACAGCCATCCTCTCCCTCACCACGGCTCGCTGTGCCTGCAGAAGCCTTATGCCAAAGTCCTGAGCTGCTGAAACCAAACATGCAGCTGGAAACGCGTCTTCAAACGGATTCAAACTGAACTGAACTGAAAGTCACCCAGAGGAGGATGGAGAACCAGCTGGAAATCAGAACAGGTTGATGGTTGTGACACATTCTGTCCACCAGGAGGCGACAAATGACAACATAAAGCAACAGATTCTGGAAATATAGCCTACACACATAAACATATCACTCAATATAGCTATAAATATTTATTTCTGTATAATTTCTCTAAGTAATTTCAGATGTTAAAGCTTACAATGAGTATTTTTGTGTCAATTTGGCTGCATCACATGACACATAATGACCTTCAACAAGCCAAACGGACAAAATTAAAAGCTAAAAGTTTAATCCTGAACCTTCCTTGACATGGAAGAACAGAAACTTATGACTTACATTTCAGTTGGAAGGGAAAACATTAACAGAGATGGAAAATCTTGTTTTCAAATTAATAGTGTGACTAAACTGGGACTGACTGCGTCTGTTTTGTGTTTTTGTCAACATCAAAACAGTCTTTTTTAAAATTTGTACATTCCTGAGTTTTATACAGAGTAGCTTTTGTCCATATTTATATGTAGATATGTAAAAGCATGACTGTAAATATGTAAATGTGATGTTTCTTAAAAGATATGTACTGAGAATGTATAAACAATTGCATAAAAAGTGGGTTTTTATCTTTATTTTGTGCTTTTGTGTATAGAAACTTCAGAGTCTAGTAATTTTGGATGAGAAAGTTGAGCAACATAACAAGGCAACACAATAAAAATAAGATAGTTAATAATGATAAGTCAGTAAATAAAATCAGATGTTTTTTATTATAAAAACATGTTTTTGTTGCTTTGACTTGATTTTGGTTTAAGTGGCAAAAGGTTTGGACCTCACTGGTATAAATTTATTAAGTTATACGCCATAGAAATTTCAGTAAAATGTTTTTGCAGTGTTTAATATTAAAGAAGCAAAATATGAACTAAGAGAGAAATAGATGCTTTGAAAAGAACAAATATAAGAAAATCAAAGTCATTGTAGGCATAGTAAGCCTGATTTATGCAATTACGTTTGAACTTAATCTGTTTTTTTGCATTCATTTGTTGAATGTTAACACATACCAAAAAAAAAACAAAAAAACAAACAAAAACAGTCAATAAACCAAAAATTAAATATCTTTCCATTCTGGGTAAACATTAGTTTTCCCTCCTCTGCAGATCCAAGCACAGGAAGTGAAATCTGCTTTTTAAATTAAAGGCATGTGAAAACGTTTCCTAGAACCAGATTATTAGTCGGTTTATGAGGTTTGTGTGTTTTTGAGAGAAGTGAAAGGAGCGAATCTGGGACGGAGCGAGCCTCGGGGTAAATCAGCGGCCGTCAGGCCTCAGTGAAGATGAGGTTTAATCCTCTGATAAGAAGCGTGAGAGTGTGTGGAAGCTGGCAGCCCTGTGGAAACACCGCAGGCTGATCAAACCGCAGGGAAACAGCTTCAGACACGCAGCAGAGAGGAAGAGCAACCATCGAGTTCGGTTCAAAGATCCTGTCACTCCGTTTGAGAAATTTGATAAAATGACTGCCAGTGAAAACATGAGAAAAATACAAAATATTACAATATTTTCCTCATTTAAACAGAAAAAATTAACCAGCTGTATATTTTGTTACTGAAATAAGCTCCACAAATAATTTGAAAATTAATCAACTTACAGTTAATAAAGATGCAATAGATAAAGAGAATAAATTTAGAAGAAAATAAATTTCTAATTGAAGGCAATTATCAAGTAATTCCAGTTAGTGGCCACAGAGGGCGCTGTTCAGCAAGATGTAGATCAGTTTCAAATTCATTTGAAATAAAAAATAAATGGAACTTCATATTTTCACCATGTCATTAATTTGTTTACAAAAGTCAAAGTTTTGGGATAAATATTTAGTTTGCAGCTAAATGTGTGAGTTCAAAGTTAAAAGCTAAATAATTATCTTCAAACTAAAAACTGAGAAGTAAAATATTTAGCTAGCTGAAGCATTTGTGAAGATACAAATGGATCTAACTTAGAGCTACATTTTGTTAATATAGCTCCAAAATAAATATTTGGTTTTGCAAGCTCTGTTGTTTGGAGCTAAATAATCATAAATCTGTTTTGCTTAAATCTAAATATTTAGCTCAGAATTTTGAATATTTAGCAACATGTATTAATGTTGAAAGCTAAATATTTAGATTGGAGCTAAATAGTAAGCTTGAACACAAAATACTTGGGTTGGATCTAAATATTTACTTTAAAAACTAAATATTTATAAGTATCTGCTAAGATATAGCTTTAGACTAAATATTTAGCTTGCTAATTAAATATTTAGGTTGAAACTGTGACGAATGGGTAACAAGTTGAAAATATTACATTGAGAAATTAATCCCCATTTTATTCTCAGGTTAAATAACCCAGATTATTACTGTTCATTTTTGTTACAAACGGTACTCCATAGGAATGTTAATTTGTGTAATTCAATCAGATTGTTTAAAGCTAATTGTTGACTTGTTATATATAATTATATAAAAGTGTTGTTCTGTTTAATGTTCTGATTGACATTAAAGATTCAGATTTTATCATTAATTAATTAATTAGTTCGGGTAGTGAAGGGTTAACAACCTGCAGCAGACGCACTGAAGGAGGAGAAACCACTCCACGGCTCTGAGCAGCACCGATAACCACCCGGTACCGGTCCGGTACCGCGAACCGCTTCGAAAAAATGGAATTTAAACGGACTGGGCGGAACTGGAATCACCCCGGAACCGTATAAAAGGGCGCGTGGGCTCCACGGTTGTTGTGCTTTTTCTCCATTCGCCTTCTCCGGGTGCGCACGCAGTCCTCCTCAGCGGCGCGTGCCACCTCCTCCGGACTATAAAAGCCGCACAGTTCCTGCTTGTGCTCGCGCCTGCTTTGGATGTGTGCGTTCGGCGAGGAGCGACCGGCAGACCCGTAAGAACAGCAGCAGGCCAGCGCCAGCCGGCAGAGGCAGGCGGGCAGGGAGCTCGCGGACACCCAGCACAGCTAGCAGCGAAAGGTGACTCCTCCGAACCGAGCCAGAGATGGTCACGTCCGCACCGCACAGGATCCTCCTCCTGCTGCTAATGTGGCTCCAGCACTGCGGTTCCGTCCACGGTAAGAGCCCGCTGCGGTTCCCCCGGTTTGCCCGGCGAAACGCTCCGGTGTTCGGGCCGGTAAAGCTAACATTTACACCTGTCTCCGGGCTGCGCCTTCTGGGCTCGTTAGCGGTCTGATCAGCAAACTAACCACATTCTTGGAGCGCAGTTGGTCAGTATTTGTAAGTTTAATTCATTTTGAGTGAATTCCTGGTCTCGTTTGAAGATTTAAGCCCTTAATTTGGTCGCTGAACGTCTGAACCTCCTCGGTTTTTGCGTCAAATCTTGTGATTTCTCCTCAGCCATCATCTCCAACCCCCTCAGCCTCTGACGTTCCTAATTTATTTATTTATTCGTTAAGTGAAAGCCGACATGGGGGCCGAGAAAGGAGCAAACTGCGGATTAACATCGTGGAAATGCGGATTAAACCTGGGAGTATTTTGGAGCTCCGAAGGGAGGGAGCGGATGATTTGGGCCAATCAGCGGCCGCAGGGATCCCAATGAAGGCTCATTACCTGCTGGTTCGGGTTAGGGTTTCTGGTTCGGGTTAGGGTTCGGGTCTGGGTTCAGGTTCGGGTTAGGGTTGGACATTTACGAGCAAACTTTCTGATTTAAGCCTTAAAATCCAGGATGAAAACATTAAATTAGACCCAGAAACCAACAGTAGCAATTAAAGGTTATATTATGGTAAATTGGATAATTATCCACAGCTGTACTCAGAAAACTGGAGATGAAATGGCTTTTTAAAATTAATGTTTGAACTTTAAATTGATTTCATTTTTAAAGATTTTAGTTGATGTACAGATTTATTTGGGAGATTTTCTATTTAAATTTTAATAAAGTTCATAAGATTTGTACTAGAATTTTGACTGGTATTAAACAATTTTTATTATGATTAGGATGATGTACATTGTCTCCTAAGTTTTTATTTATTTATTTATTTATTTATTTATATTATATTTTTTAAACTATCAGGCAGATTTTGTGTATTTCTATCAAATTTTGTTAATGTTTAACTCAAGTTATGCATACATTTCATACATTTTTGTTTCCAATGAGATTTTCTTTTTATATTGCTCTGGCTTTATGCATTTGTCTTTAGATTTTTTTTCTTGAACAGAATACTTCATTCAAATATTCACATTTTCTAAATTTTAGGAATACTTTACTTCAATTATATGATCCATTTAAGCCTCTGCATACACAGCTGATCATTCGCTGGTCTAATTTAAACCACATTTTTTATTTTTGTGTTGTGGAATCTTTAAAGCCATATCATTGATTTGATGTCTGCAGGAAATGCTTTTCCTCTGATTTGCACAGATTCCCACCTACAGCATCGGCTCCACGGTGCCTGATAAGAGCCTCATTCCCCAAAACGAGCCGCTGTCTGTCTCTCTGAGATTCAGATGGACTATTTGACCAAAATGCCACTCAGATTAGTGAGAGGAGAGCAGGAGCAGGCTGGCCTGATTTAAAAAGGATGTTTTATGTTTTTTCTTCTCTCCCCTGCATGGTTTCTGATGCTGAGTGAGACCCAGATCCTCGGCTGTGGGAAGCCGGGCGGGGGGCGTCGGTGTGTGGGGGTTCTTAAAGTGGGCGGAGTGGTGGAGAGCAGCATGCTGCAGCCGTTTGTTACTGGGGAAAACTGCAGCACCATGACCTCCAGTGTGACAGCATTTATAAAGAGCACAATAATGTTCTATTTTTAATGGAGATGATTTGATGCAGCTCAACGCTTGTCTGCTTCCAGCAGTACGTGAAGACGACTGGGTGTCATAAATTTACTATCAATGTCTCTGTAATGATCCACGATGCTCCCGCTTTAGAGAATATTGAATTAAGAGTTTAAAATAAAGTGCAAATACTTGCTGAAGTGTTTAATATGTTGCTGAAATGAACCTTAAAGGCAGAAGACTGTCTAATTTTAGTGTCAGCTAGTAACATTCCCCCAGCCTCTTGTTTTTAGATCCTTCAGCTGTCAGTTTTATAAAATCTGGAGTGACACTGCAGAGACAGCAGAGCTGCTTCATGCAGGTACTGAGGTCTAACTGCTGAGGTGTGTTGATCAGAGGGTGAAGTGTGCAGCGTTCCTGGCAGCTAGTCGATGGGTTGGTGTAGCAGCAGCAGCTCTGTGGGGAGCCGTCCTGAAGGAACAAAAGCAGCAGGATCTACAGTTCATCCACTATGCTTCTTATTTTTACTGTTGCAGCCCTGACATGGACTTTATTGTATACATTTTAACTGTTAAGTCTTGTTGCAGGCTTGAAAGTTAGTAAAACATGCAGAGAAGTATTTAAGGTTCTATGATTTTTGGCATTTCAGGTCTAAACATGTTGTGGTTAAAGATGGAATCATGTTGAGGAGTTTATGTTGAATATTTACCAAAACTAGAAAATTTGCAGTTTGATTTATTAATAAGAGTTGACTATAGGAGAGTGTCTATTTCCTGGTAATTTCTGTTGAAAGTCACAAATTGGTTTGCAATAGGAGTGTGTTTTGAGCCTTGCAGGATCTCTATTTGCTTTGTCAGCATTAAATGTACGTCAGCATTTAGACTCAACATTTCCTTCAGGCTGTTGTTTGGCCAGCCTGGCTGGGCTGTAACTTTTAGGTAAATAAGTTTTAGAACCAGAAGGCGTTGGCTGGGTGGGTTTATGACCGTAGCTGTTTTAAAGCTACAGGAACAGAAAACAGACATGCAGGGGAAACGCAGAGAGAAGTTCATGATTGGGTTAAAGATGGAACAGGAGTCTCTAGAAACCAGAAATGATTCTTTGATGCTCTGAAAAATACTTCTTCGGTTGTGATATGTTGGACAATGTTTAACAAGAATTTTCTGTTCAGTTACTGGCTGAATTTCTTCCATTTTGTGAATTTCCTGAGTTTTTAAAGTTGAATCCCAGTATTAACTGGAGTTAGAAACCACAGCCACCAGTGCCCAACTTTCACCAGCTAAAACACTCAATATACCTCAGTATGTGTCGGTAAACTCAGTGGCAACCATCTTAACTCAACTGCAGAAGCAACATTTACAGTCTGATCTCCAACCAATCAAGCAAAACAAATGTTGCTTCTGGATTTGTTGGTTTGCAAACTGCAGCCAATGGCTCCTCAGCACCAAATGGGGTTTTCTGGCCAATCAAGTCTTTCTAAAGCCTGACCTACTATTGTTTTAAGTTATTGAGCAATGTGCTGGAAAAATGTCTCTGATACACAAGACTTTACTCAAGTTTGTTAAATATTTAGTTTTGTTTTTAAATATTTGAAATGCTATCAAATTGATGTGACATTTTCACTCTACACTGTTTTATTTTTAATCTTTTGAGTGAGCCTTTTGCAATAATTAATCACATGAGGAACTCTAATTATATTTCGAAGGGGAATTTTGTTTTTATGGCCTTGGTTGCGTTTGGCTTTCTGTTTTTAGAAGTTTAATTTTTAGATATTGAAAGTTGTTTTTAAAATCCTGTTGTATCTTCATATAACAGCTAAACATCTTTCTGTCTGCGGCGCCATCCGTTCCACGCTGAGACCCAAAGCTGTTCCGGTTTCGAGCCGATCCGGGTTCTGCTGACCCACTTTGTTTTCCATCATGGCTGCATTTTTGCTTCTTCTGGAGTGAAGGTTTCATTTAAACCTCTGAGAACCGGCAGGAGGGCTCCATTTCCCCACCTGGACGGCTGCAGCGTGGCGCCAGCCTCAAGGTCGGGGTTATTTTAGGAACATGTTCCGATGTCAGCTGCAGCAAACCTGGCCACAGCGCCGACCTTCAGCCTGGAAACGTTGGTTTCATTCCTGTTGGAGCAGGAAGTGACAAAATGCTTCTGTTTAAATTATTGAACCTGCAGCAGATGCAGCTGGAGCAAACTACAGAAACACTTAACCTCAGGATTAATCGTTCCTTCGGGTCAATTCAGGACGGCTCAAGTTGGATCTGATGTCAAAATAAAATGCATTAGACTAGAAAAGCAGAATTTTTTTGTTCTCCTTCACCTTTTTGGTTTCGTGTTTGGTTAATGATTGAATATTTGTCACAGTAGGTTTGATTTTAACAAATTCAGAACCTGCTAAAGTTAAGTGTTTAAACCTATAAATTTGTTTGTCTCTCCAGGTACGAAGACTGAATGTGAAGCCAACCAGTTCCAGTGTGGGAACGGCCGCTGCATCCCGTCCGTGTGGCAATGCGACGGCGATGAGGATTGCACCGACGGCAGCGACGAGAACTCCTGTGGTGAGGAGGAACGACCCGCTTTACCAGAACACAAACGCAGCACCGTCTGGATCAATGGCGTTTCAGTTTAGCTCATTTCAGTAACGAGGCAGTGCAACGTAAAGTTACAGAAACGTAGTCAACACACAGAATGGGCTTCACTTCACAAGACTTTTACCTTCCACTCAACTTTCCACTTGGATGCAGCAATCTGATCTGCTAATTTCACCTTTTTTGACTCATTTAACATACCAATGAACAGCAGTTTATTCTGTTGTGCAGATAAAATCTCTAACACGTTTGATCTTTTTTGCGTGTATAAATTTGCTTGACTAGGCCTGCAGTTCTGCCTCAACCTGCTTTTTCTGTAGCGTTTCTGAGCAGAACTGTTTGAAGTGGAAAAAAAAAACTGTGTGAAAGATGCATGAAGTCCTGAAAGCTGCTGCATATTGATGTCAAACGGCTTCAATAAATCAGAGCTAATCTGTTTACCGTTCAGATTCTGAGCCGTTCTGTCGCTTCAGAAGCAGGAAGGTGGCGCTTTGAGAGTCGAGGCACAGCGGAGCTAAATCTGGATCCAATATGTTCAACTATCTGGGTCATTTGATAAAACACAGCAAGGAAAGAATAAGAGGGGGATGGGATGTTTAAATCCTTTATGGACAGGAAATGAAACATTGTGATTTGAACTCTTAATTATGTCAAATGTTTTTCAGCAAAAAATAAACAAGTTTTCACAAAAACATTAAATATGCAGGGAAGCAAAAGAAGAAAACGTGCTAACTGCACGTAGCGACATTTAGCTGGGAACATGTTGGGCTTAATGATCTCCAAATTTTCTACTCCACATTCTGCAGTGCAGGAAGTGGGAAACAAATCAACCAAATGTTGCAACAGCATCAAAATCCTGAGATTTTAATGTTCAAGACTTTCTGTCATCAGCACCAGATGGTCCAAACTAAAGATGCAGGACTAGTTTCTGATGCTGGCTGTGTAACCAAACAGAATTTATTCTCTTTTAGTTAAGAAGACGTGTGCGGATGTGGACTTTGTGTGCCGCAGCGGTCAGTGCATCCCGAAGCGCTGGCACTGCGACGGCGAGCCGGACTGCGAGGACGGATCCGACGAGAGCGTAGAAGTCTGCCGTAAGTTCTCCCACAATGCAACTTGTTGGCCGGGTTTCAATCAGCAAAGACATTTATTAAACTCTGAAGCTGTAGGGGAAAGTTAATCCTGCCAAGTAATTTTTTCTAGCTTAATTTTAATCAGAAGTAACGGATTGTTTCTTGCTTTGAGTTTGGATCAGTTTCCTGCTGATACCTGATCCAGTCCTGCTCCGTCATGTTTAGTGCAGCAGCTGTTTGGATGGTCTGAAGGTCATGATGGGGTCGTTTTCAGGTCCAGTCATGTTCTGTCGGAGCTGCTGCTGCTGAGGTCTGACCAGCTGTCGCCTTCAGCCAGCAGCTGAAAGAGTCCGACTTTAATTTTAACCCGCTGACTCCTCCTCATTCCTGGTTTCTCTCTCAAACTGATAAAACTTTACAGCTTCAGTGAAGTTGCTTTTTTATTCTTAATGTTTTGCTCTGCAGCTTTAAATGTGATGCAAGAGTTTCTAAACTTAAAGCTAAATGATTTACAATATTTCTAGAAGGTGATGAGTTAATTGAATTATTTGTTATAATTTCACCTGTTTATGTTCAGATTTGACTTTTCCTAATGCATAATTAACTCGACTCATAAATGACTAATTTTAATAAAATGCAGCATTTTGAAAACTATTGGATATGATTTAATGGGACAAATCTGCTTTAATTGATTTTAATTAGTTCATAACTTTTTGATCCTGTTTCGTTCTGTGTTTTTGACATTTTAATCTAATTGGCTTTAACAATACTTTTTGAATGTACTAATTGGTGAATTAAGAAAAAGTAAAGCTATACATGTTTTTATTCTTGTTGCTGCACCGTATCAAGTAGATACAATGTCTAATTCAAGCTGACATATTTTCATTTCTTTAGCGTTTCGGTTGGACTGCGATGCTCCTTGTCATTTCAGACCAAATATTTTGTCATGTTTCTATAACGTCTTGCTCTGGCGCTGGTTTCTCTGTGGTTTGGTTTTAATCGCCATCATCGCTGTATTCCTCTCTGTCTGCAGACATGCGGACGTGTCGCGTTAACGAGTTCAGCTGCGGCCCAGGAACCACACTTTGCATCCCCATCTTCTGGAAATGCGACGGAGAAAAGGACTGCGACAAAGGAGAGGACGAAGTCAACTGTGGTGGGTGGAAGCTGCTTTCCTTCCTGTTTTCTCCCCTCAACACCTCAGTAATTATTTGACCTTTTGAATCAGTCGTTTCTCTGTTGAGCTGAACGTCTAGCAGCTGCAATCAGCAGCAACGTGTCGACTTTTAGATGATTTATGATCCAAGTACTGCAGAAAAACCTGAAGATGAGGCTTTCATAGCAGTCCAATGTTTTCTCCTGGGACTTTGAGAAACAAAAAGTCTGAAGTGCTTTACAGTAATAATCAATACTTCATATAGATTGAGAAGGTAATTATTTGTAACTCCAGCTGCATTAAATGTTAGCTAACAGAAGCTAACATTTAATGTTGCATCCAGACTGGATTGATTGTCTTATGAGCTCTGAGTTGTGCGCAATTCATGAATAAACCTGACTGAGTGATTTTTACCTGAAATAGTTTTTTCTAAGACAATACATGCCACACTTTTCTAACTTGTAGTTGCATTGTTAAAGCATGCATTGTTTTCTCTCAACTTCACAATTAAGTGGCACTTTGTTTTAACTTATTGCAGAAACTTCATGAAAATTTGTCATACGGTGAAAGTTAGGAGTTCAAATCGTTCTCTCAACCTGGTGAGAAACATCCTGCGCTTGCAGTGATTTGGGTTTGTACTGCAGTTCAGCCACGCCTCCTGTCTTATTGATGAAGCGGTTGAGGAAAACTCCAGATATCTCTGCAGAGGCTCTTGGGTTCCCTGAAGCGTGATCAGCTGGTATTGATTATGAGATGCTGAGCTGCAGAAACCTGCTTGGCTCAGTTCACAACTGCAGCTTCTGCCTCAGTGGACGTGGAACAGCAGAGTGGATCAGACCTCGTTCAGTTAAACTCAGAACCTGAAGTAAACACTCGGACTCCCCCCAGGTAACATCACCTGCGCTCTGAACGAGTTCACCTGCGCCAGCGGCCGCTGCATCTCCAAGAACTTTGTGTGCAACGGCGAGGACGACTGCGGCGACGGCTCAGACGAGGTGGGCTGCGCGCCGTCTTCCTGCGCTCCCAGTGAGTTCCAGTGTGGAAACGCGTCCTGCATCCCGGCCAGCTGGGTGTGTGACGACGACGTCGACTGCCAGGTGAGAGGAAACGGAAATGAGGTGAACCATTAGGACTGAAGTACTTTAATTCTGAGGAATTTAGTTTCTCATGAGAAATGAGACGGTTGTCTCAAAATATGATTTAAAATGAAGAATTCTGCAACAGAATGATGCTTTTTATTTAAAATATGCATGTGGAAAATTTCTATCTTTGTCAATAATCACACATTAATACAAACCCTTCAAATAAGCTGCAAAGTCTATATTTGATGCTACTTAAAAATAAAAACCTAACAATTGTTTTAAACCCGATTTAATTTCCAATTTTCATTTTCCTTCAGCAAACTTAAATGATGCATAAAATAAAATGGCTTATTTCAATAATTCTGTGAGTTGAGATGAATAGAAGCTGGAAAACACGTTGGTATTAGACTAACTCTGGAAACCTGATGTGTGGATTGGTGTGAAAAATCCAGATTTGTTCAATCTGCTCGTAAATAATTTTAAAAAGCTGCAAACTTGCTAAATTCTTACAATGCAGTAATCAGGACATTTAATGTACATTTATTCATCTGCAAATTTTATGTTGTAGAAAAACAAAATTCAATCTAGAAAACTGTACAGTATGAATGAAGTGTGCAACTTTCATTAATTCACATCTATACATTTAATCATAATTAGGATTCATGGGATGCATCAAAGCTCTAGCAAAAAAAAGTTCTGATTTTAGCTGGAATATTGGCATCTGAGTAAAATATTCTCATTTTAAAGTGTTTGCTGTGTTTCTGTAGGACCAGTCAGACGAAGCTCCGGCTCGTTGCGGCCGCCACCCGACGCCGCCCGCCAAGTGTTTGCCCAGCGAGATGCAGTGCAGCTCTGGAGAATGCATCCATAAAAAATGGAGATGTGACGGCGACCCCGACTGCAAGGACGGCAGCGACGAGGCGAACTGTCGTACGTTACGCTGTCCAAACCACTCCCAGCTTCTGCTTCATTTCTCAGATTTTCTTTAACAGAAAGTGATGGAGGTTTTGTTTGCAGCTGTGCGGAGTTGTGGGCCGGATCAGTTCAAATGCGACGATGGAAGCTGCATCCTGGGAAGCAGACAGTGTAACGGCATCAGAGACTGCGGCGACGGCTCAGATGAAATCAACTGCAGGAACGGTAAGACTTTACTCTGGTTTTAGAATCCAACGTCTTCATGCTAGGTCTTAGCATTGAAGTGAATTTCTTCATATTGGATTAGTGATAATCTGGATTAATTTGCTGTTTTTCAGTGACTCAGTGTAACGGGCCAGAGAAGTTCAAGTGTCGCAGCGGAGAATGCATCGACATGAGCAAAGTGTGCAACAAGATCAGAGACTGTCCAGACTGGAGCGACGAGCCCATCAAAGAGTGCAGTGAGTTTGATTTAAATATGGAAAAATTATGATAACTATGAATGAACATCTGCAGCTTCTGTGGTGTTTATGGGGTTTTAATGATCCTGAAAGGATGAAATGAGTTAAAATTAAAGTATCTCTTTATTAACCTGCACAATAGTGTTTGATCTTCCTTTAAATGTTTGTTACATTTTATAGCATAATCCAGTAACTGTTACTAAAATACAAATGCTATATTCATCAAACAAGACTTAAAATAAATTTTACTTCCAGATTTAACACCTTGAAATTGGGCCTCTGTCTCTTTAAGAGCTCCTGCTTTTTGAAACTGACTTCAGGAAGTCATCACAGCATGGCCGCTCTAATTATAGTAGCTCCTATAATAAACTCAGCTGTTCCACCAGATGTTTGCCAAATGCTGCTTGCTAGTCTGAAGGAGTTGTCAGAGGCTTGTCAACTTCTGAAAGCAAATCTGTGTGAAGCACTAGTTTACGTTTTTGTAGAAACATTATTATTTTAGATCATTAACCCAGCATTATATTCATTATATTGTGATTTTCAATTTAAAGTATTCTCTTCCTCTGCTGAAATGTATAAACTTACTTTGAAGCCTTTTCTTCCTGTGTTTCCATGTGAAACAGTTAACGGTGTTTCTCAGACCTTATCAACCGGAATACTCACTACTGGAGTCCAACTGTGACTGTCTCTACTGCCTTCCCTTATCTTTTAATAAAAAGCCCTAACAAAGGTCTCCAGAGCGCTTGGTGAAAGGCTTGAAGCAGCAGTTTGCTGGTTTCTCTCCTTTTGCAAAAGCTTTCATAAAATTCACTTTGTTTTATGTAGATTCATAAATACCCATCAACGCCTTTTTTGCTGCTCCTACTATAAACTGTGGCATTTGTTCTTGTCACAGATGTAAACGAGTGTCTCCTGAACAACGGCGGCTGCTCCCACATCTGCAAAGACATGGTGATCGGCTTTGAATGCGACTGCACACCTGGGCTGCAGCTCATCGACCACAAGACCTGTGGAGGTACAACCCACTGATCACCAGACGAGTTTAGGAAGGAACTTTAAGTTGTGCTGCAAAGAAGAAATCAGGCTGAAAATTGACTAATTTAATTTCAATTAAAGTCCTGATCCCTAGAAGAATGTCTGACGCTGCAGGATTCATGTTCTGATTGTCGTTCAGCTTTAAAGCAGAAATCCTGCAGGTCGTTTTCTGACACTCTGGCTTCTGTCTGTAAATCCTCATCCTTCCTGGAATAAACTTCTCCAGTCACTCAAGTGTTTAATTTCCTCCCAAATGTACAACCAGCTGTAAACTGAATGCTAGAATATTTAAAAGCTGGTCAGAAACATAACTGAGATTAGAGGTTTAAATGTCTTGTTTGCTAAATTTATTAGAAAACTTGATTTTTAAGGTGGTTGTGCAGCTTTTCACTCCTAATCGCGTCTCTTCCTCTCTTGATGCAGACGTCAACGAGTGCATGAATCCTGGTATTTGCAGTCAGATCTGCGTCAACCTGAAGGGAGGCTATAAGTGTGAATGCCACAACGGCTACCAGATGGATCCGGCTACCGGCGTCTGCAAGGCTGTTGGTGAGGATCAGGAACTTTTAGTTTTAGATGTTTTCACCTTTACTGGTTTTTACAAACTTCTTTTTCTCCATGTTCAGGTAAGGAGCCGTGCCTGATCTTCACCAACCGCCGTGATATTCGCCGTCTGGGTCTGGAGAGGAAGGAGTACACGCAGATCGTGGAGCAGCAGAGAAACGCCGCGGCTCTGGATGCTGACTTTAACCAGCAGACCATCTTCTGGGCCGACCTGGGTCAGAGGGCCATATACAGGTAGACTCAGGCTTTACAAACATCAGCTGGATTTTACTTTCCTCAACTTTGTCTCAATATAACCATCTTTAAATATCTGAAGCTTTTTTTATTTCTTTTTTTCTTCAAATATGCATTTTGTAGCTTTAATGTTAAATTTTGCCATGAAAAGATGAGATGCAGGTTGAATAGGAGTAAAAATATCTGATTATCTTCACTTCAGGTTGCAGTGATATTTCTCAGACTGTGCAGGAAAATGAAACGTTTTGGCTCATTTGCTGTATTGTCTTTAAAATCACTTTCAGTTTTAACTAATAAATCTGAACTGTAAATCATTTAAAATGAAGGTGAGCGTTTCCTTTTCTCTCAGCACCGTCCTGGACAAGCGAGGAGACGTTGGCGTCCACAAGAAGGTGATCGACAACGTCCAGACTCCTCTGGGGATCGCCGTCGACTGGGTCTACAAGAACCTGTACTGGTCCGACCTGGGAACCAAAACCATTTCTGTGGCAAACTTCAACGGAACCAAACGGAAGGTTCTGTTCAACACGGGCCTGAGAGAACCCGCCTCCATCGCCGTGGATCCTTTGTCTGGGTGGGTGGAAACGGTTTGGGTTTTTCCTCTGGCAGAACTCTGATCTGCTGACCGGACGTTTTCTGTACTGGTCTCAGGTTTCTGTACTGGTCTGACTGGGGAGAGCCGGCCAAGATCGAGAAGTCTGGTATGAACGGAGCGGACCGGCAGGTTCTGGTGGCGACTGACATCCAGTGGCCAAACGGGATCACACTGGGTAGGAATGAGGCAAAACTCCTCCAAAATAAAAGCCTTCAGCTGAAACTATAAAAATCTGTTTTATGGTGGAATATTTAGATCTGAAGCTGTTTCTGAAAACTGTTTTTGATCTTTTTGTGTCTTCAGATCTGATCAAAGGCCGGCTGTATTGGGTCGACTCCAAGCTGCACATGCTCAGTAGCGTCGATCTGAACGGAGACAACAGGAACAAAGTGCTGCAGTCTGCAGACTTCCTGGCTCATCCATTCGCTCTCACCGTGTTCGAGGTTCGTTTGGCCTTCAGCCTTCATTCATTTAGATTTACTGAAGAAATGCTGTTGCATTTTAATAAAGTTTATTTGTTTAGCACATTTCAGCAAATTCAAAACTCTTCATATCATAAAACATAACAGTAAAATACAAAGTTTTAAGCAATAAAAGGTTTAAAGAATTATTTCTAATGGTACAAAAGATTTAGTCAAATGAAAACCTGTAAAAAAAATATATATATATATATTACCATTGATCAGAATAATTGCTTACTGAAATAATCAGTTGCAGCTCTGTATGAAAGTCGGCCATGTTTGGTTCTGTTGGCAGGATCGGGTTTTCTGGACGGACGGTGAAAACAAAGCCATCTTCGGCGCCAACAAGTTCTCTGGTTCTGATGTCGTCACGCTCGCCAGCAACCTGAACGACCCTCAGGACGTCATCGTCTACCATGAGCTGATCCAGCTGGCTGGTGAGGGGTCAAAGGTCACCCAGTTTAACCCAGAACTGGTGTGGAACAAGTTCTCCAGCTTGATTTGGGCTTCAGTTACTCAGTGATTCATGTTGTGTTTTTCTGCAGGTACCAACTGGTGCACAGAGAAAAGTGAAAATGGCGGCTGCAGCTTCTTGTGTCTTCCTGCTCCTCAGATCAACAAACATTCCCCCAAGTACAGCTGCGTGTGTCCTGCAGGCCAGGAGCTGGCAGCAGACGGCCAGCGCTGCAGACCCGGTGAGCTCTGCACAGAAATGCAAACACTGATTCTGCTGCTGCAGCTTTTCAACATCAACCTCTTTCCACTGCTGAAGTCTTTTTGTTTTCAATATAGTAAGAACCACTCGCCTGTTTTTAAGGCTTCTAGAGGAGAAAAGGAAGCGGCGTCTTGAATTTTAAGTTGTGGGTAAATGTCTGCAGTGGTCCAGTTTGAAGCGGCTCCAGGATTGTTTGCAACAATTAGCGGTTGCAGGAGTGAAGGCAGAGCAGCGGCGCTGGCCTTTCCCTCCTGCTGGACGACCGGTTGCTTAGAGACTCGCTTTGTTTTTCCCTGCGGCTTCGCTCCTTTCACAGATTAGCCTTTTCAAACCCAACAGAAACCTGACAGCTGAATCCGCAGCACTAATTGGACTCTGGTTCCAGCCGGGACTCGCGGATCGCTGGACCGTCTTCATGACGGCGCTCAGAACAAACTGCAGGAAACGCTGAGAATCTGTGGAGGATTAAGAGTTTTAACTGAGTATAAAACATGCTGAGGTTGTCTGTTCAAAAAACCCAACAGAACAGGGGGAATCCATATCTTTCAGACATCGAACCTTAAAAACTAAATTTTATCACCCAGCTCGACTGCATCCTTGATCTTCTGAGTTTGCTTCCATTTCCCCTTTAGTTTCTGGTTGTTCCACATTTCGTTGAAGTATTTACCCTAAACTTGGTCAATTTTAGTTCTTTATATTGGGAAGCTTATTTAAATCCCATTGGAGGTTTAGCATGGACTGAAGCTCTCTGCTGAACCTCTGTTGGTTGCAGTGAAAATGGGTGCCTGTCCCTTTAAGACTAATTCCTGCCCGTCCAGCCCATTTTCCAGCTGGGCCGACCGGGAACTGTAGAGCTTTGTGAGGCTGCTGCTCCAGCCGACTAATCCAGTTAGAAACAAAAAGTGAACAGAAGCTCAACTCACAGCGACAAACGACTGTTTTATTGTTCACGCCGTTACAGATCAGTGGAGGTTTTTCTCCAGTTGGAGCTGAATCATAGACGTTTCAGTTTCTCATTGCTTACAATGAGAAACTTGAAGTCCCATAATGCTTTGAGTGGGCAGATTTGTTTACATTTCATGAAGAAAGTTTTTTATTTTCCTCTTCACAGAAGACTGATCAGAACCGAGAAACTCAAAGCTCATCAGAAATGTCAGCAGCTTCTTGATATTTGTGATAATTCACAGGAATATGATTATTACTGATTGTTTTCAGAGCCTAATAATATGCTATATGTGGCATTATCTAACAAAATGGACCCTGCAATTTGTTCTACATTAGGAATCCAGATTTGGCTGCAGAACTCAAATAGAAGTTTATGCACACAGTGACGACGCCTCTGATCCTTGTGCATAAGACCAAAGGATCCAGTATAGTCAATAAATTACTATAAATAACCTTCATCACAAAAGTGACATCAGATTTTAGTTTTATTTTGTCTTTGGCAAAAGACCACAAGCCATTTCTCCCGTTAGCACTAAACTAGCTAGCATTTGTTTCACTGTATTTACCCAGAATGCCCTACGCTGTAGTTCACTTCCTGCTTTAGGAACAATCTGTGGTTCGTTCATATGCATTCAAACTGCACCAGCCTTCACTTCAACCAAACAGGCCGATGTTTGTAGGTGGACCAGAGTTCAGTTCCACATTCACACCTCCCCACATGAACTGGCCTTTCCAGGCAAAAGGACCAGACTTCCCAGTGTGAGTCGTTTATTACAGGATGGTGAAACCATTCATGCAGATTGCAGCGACTCTCCCATCCTCTTGATTTGCATCAGATAAACCAGTTTACTCTCCAGAGATCTGGTCTACATTCAAAGAGAACTCAGAAATGGGACGACCTTGAATGCTTAAGGTTTGTTGTTGCTCTTCTAGTGACAGACTCTTCCTGTGAGGACGGTAGTGAAGCTGTAACGCAGCCTAAAGGTAAAACCTAACGCCGTCATCTCAGCATGCTGGGCTCTCAAATCAAGTAGCTTCCAGTTTTTCTCCTTTTTCTGAATTAACCTTCTCTTCTGCTTTAACTGAAACTTCTGCTGCTTTGGTCCTGATCTGAACTAAGAGCTGAAATTAACCTGTAATTCCTCAAATCTTCTAATCCAGCTGATTATAAATGTTCAGTTGGATCATTTCAAACTGGAAACTCTTGGAAGAACTTAAATTCCCTGTTTTTTTTTTACTGAAGTAATTTTGATCTTAATCAGAAACATGAGGAATCCCTGTGACTTGTTGCTAAATGCTGAACAATCCATGTGACATTCAGTCATCACCTCTCTGCTGCTGGAAGAGTTTAAAGCTCTGACAAATTAATCTAGTACAGGAGCGCCATCTAGTGGTAGAAAATGGGAAATACACATGCAATATTTGGCTCAAACAAAACCTACATTCTTGCCTGACTGTAGTTTACAAACCTCAAAACCTGCTGGAAGATTTTTAGTTTTGCTATTGGAACCTTTTTTTACCCCCCTATTCTGCATTTGTAAAGATTAATGCAGGAATTTCGCTGAAGCTCGTTTTGATTGAGAGCTTTAGATTTACACCAAGCTGATATTTGGCAAATATTTTCTGCTTCAGAAAATGAGCCTTTATAAAAACCCTCCAAATGAAACATCCCAGCAGGTTTTACTGCTGTTTGCACTGTACAATGGCTGCTGGAAAAGACTACAGGAATCTAGAAACCATTTGCTGCTTGTTTGTGCAGGAGGCTCCACTTCTACTTTTCAAAGCTATACAATTGTACAGTGGTGAATCTGTTTATATTTTATTTTGGAATTGATAACAAGAAGTCTTAAACGGCTAATTCTGAACTAAGCAGACTTGAACATTATCTAAGAATGAGTTTTGTGCAGGTTTTGTGTAGACCATGACCCTATCCTAAACTCTTTTAAGGTTTATGGAAGTTACTGATTTTGTCGTCTCTTCCAGAAGCCAATGTGAGCACATCTATCAGGTGACTCCAGCCTGCTCTGCTGCCTGGGCCATCCTACCTGTCTGTAAGTGCCTCTGCCTCCTCCTCTAAGGTCAAACATGAGGTCAGAAATCTGTTTCCCAGCAGCCTGTGTCTCTGCTGCAGTGCTGCTGGCGGCCGGAGCGGGCGCCTACCTGATGTGGAGGAACTGGCAGCTGAAGAACCAGAAGAGCATGAACTTTGACAACCAGTCTACCTGAAAACCACAGAAGAAGACCTCAACATCGACATCACCCGCCACGGCGCCAACGTGGCCATACCTACCCAGCGGTGAGTTTAATTTTTTAAAATGAGATTTTGGAAATCTTCAAGTCAATATTTGTGATGTGGTTGAAAATGCTGCCATTTCCTCTCAGTTACATAAAATCCCATCTTTTCCTTCCTCTGTTTCTGTTCAGATTTCCATAGTGAGCACAGACGATGATTTATCCTGATCGTTCTCAGGATTTTGGTTTTTTTATTTCTTCTCCTTGCGGAAACCTCCTCCGTGTTACGGATGCCAACGGTTCGCCGTAATGGCGGACCTTACAGTTCAACCACATGCCTTCAGAAGTGCATTAAGTCCTGATCTGTGGTGAAGAGGAAATGTTATTTATTATGTGAATACTTCCATGAGTTTTCCACATCACTCCACAGTGTTGAGGAATTTTTATCTTGCTTTCCGACGTCGTCTTTGCCGTCTGTTCAGAGAACAGTTTGTCTTTGAGGGTCTTTCATGTCCAGCCTGGACTGAACCTCTGAAGACCAGGCGTCTTCATCAACCCGTTTCCTGGTTCTGATTCAAACCGGGTCAAAGTTCTCAGGTCTCAACGGGGAACAAGTCTGGAGACTAAAAGTATTTAATTATGAAACAGATTGTTAATATTTCTGATCATGCTTTGCTGACTGACATTAAGGTTTCTTCTGTTAATTGCATTATTATTATTGCTGCTGCTGAGATCACCATGGTTGCAGCGTTTTGTAAACAGTGTAAATATATTTCCTCCCTCAGAGACGTGACTGTAAATCAGGACTCTCTTCAATGCACTTTGATCAATGTTCTCTGTAAATAAGATTGTAAACACTGACTTGAATCTTTTTGCTATGGCTGGTTCCTCACCAGAGTTCAGATTATTTAAGGAGAGCAGAGGAGGAAAAATGAATTTGGTAAAAATGACTATTTTGTATGTTTGTGCTGTTGCTGTGAACTTTTATAGCCTTGTACAGTGAAGGAGAATGAAATGATGTGTTCTGAAGGAACTGATTCACAAAGAAATTTTGAATTAAAACATCAGTGTTAAAAAATCCCTTTGAATGTTTTTAATTTGAGTGAAATGGGTCAATATACAAATTGCATCATGAGGGCTCTCGGTTTACTTCCTTACCAGATCTACTTATGATTCTGAAAATATTATGTCAAATTTACATTTCCAGGTCTAAAGTAAAAACTAAACATTTTCATGTTTGGAAGGAAAATTCTTGTCCCATCCATCCCCCTGTTGGAGTTGATGTCTGATCTGCAAAGCAATTTATACCATTTCTAATGGTACAGATTGAAAAGCATTTTCTGCATTTGTTCTCTTGGCCATTTGCATCATCCTGCAATAAAATCCATACATTTAAGGTTTCCACATAATTCAGTTCCTTAGTGGGGACAGCTACATTAAATTATCACTTTGCAGTTCTAAACATATCTACAGTTTAATGGCAGATCTGTGAGGGCTAAGGATTCCAAGCATGCAGGGTGATATCTGTCAGCACTGCTTCAGATGTGGACAAAAAGCCACATTCCTTGTTCCTGCAGGTGGATGTAGTTTAAGGAAATGGGAAGGAGTTGCTGGGCAGCAGTAACCCAGTTTACCTCCCTCACCCACATCCAGGATCTCCCACTCTAACATTGCTTTGGTGCAGATAAACCATGAATGTTCATATGAGCCTAACTCAATTTATCCCACAGTCTGTTACCTTCAGTTTCTGCTAAAATGAGCTAAACTGACTGAACTGTTCAGTCACATATTGATGACCCAGTGGAGCTTTATGGGAGACAGAATCAGGCAAGTTTAATAAATGACTGGATGAAGAAACACTCCTTCAGAGTAACATCAGGATTATCATAGCTTTTTTTTTCTAATCAAAGTCCAGCAAATAAAGTTCACTGAGAGCAATATAAGCAGCTAATATTTAACATGTTTATTATTCCAGCCTCAGTTTTCTGTTCTTCATGTGACTCCACTGAATCCAACTCTGATGTCGTTCACTTCACAAGTGATGAAGATCCATTTTGCTTTCACTTCCTGCTGATTTCTTTCCAAAGCTCCATTTGTTCCAGGAGGATCTTCAATGTTCTCTTTAGATGATGAAGGAACTCAGACTGACTCCACCCGGCTGGTGCTCCAGGTGAGCAGAAAAACAAACCCTAAAGTCATTCATGTCCTGATAAATGAAACCTTAGAACTGGTTTTGGTTCTGATCACTTTTTACTATTGCGGTCATCCAGCTCTGAAAAATAAAAAAAAATGGAGACCACTGAGAACCTCATTGACAACCTGGTTATTCACCAAATGATTTCTGAACTGAGTAAAATCAGTATTTTAAATGAACTTGTTTTCTTTAGATTATTTGTGGTTTAAAAACGCTTCAACTTTTTTTATTATTTTCACCATTTCTCATTTTCTGCAAACACATTTTTGCTTGGAATGTCAGACATGTTGTCAATACTTCATAGAAAAGAGAACATTGTTCATTTTACTCAAATATAAGCCTATAAAAAAAATAAGATCACAGAAACTGATCATTTTAAGTGGTCTCTTAATTTTTGGATTACAGCTCTGTAATCCAAAAGAGAGCTTTTGGATATTAACATTATGACATTAATATCATAACGTGTAAAAACACGTTTATGATATTAATAACAAGACAATACGCAGGTAAGTGTTTCACCACAAGGGGGAGACAAGCCCCCATTAATGAAGAGATCAGTTGGTTCCAAGTTTAAAAAAGGTTCTGGTTCAATTGGTGTTGAACAGAACCTGGATCAGCAGAATAACAGCAGATCCAGATTTATGAGAAGTGATCTTTCTTCAGACGTCAACAGAGAAACTTTCCTCTGACTCCCAGTCAGTCTGACCAGTCAGACCAGTCAGACCAGTCTGGCTCTTTTCTCCTCATAAGACTTTCAGTTTAAACTAACCTGTTTTATTTGTGGCACCAGTCTGGATCTACCGTGGTTCTGTTGGGTCTCAGCTTGTTTGTTCAGATTTTCTTCATCAACTCTTTGGATCATTTGAACAAACTGTAAGTTTGCTTTGTTTCCTACTTGAACTTTGATGTTTGGAGAAAATGTTCACTTCTGATTTCAGCTGAAAAACTAAAATCTCTGCCGTTTGAAGTTCTCTGCTGGACATCTGGTTTTCTTTATTTTCTTCTCTGAACAAACTGATTCTTGGTTTTATTTCCTGGAATCAAACTCTGGAATCCAGCATTAAAGTCAGAAAAAACAATTTCCCAGTCAGATTATGAAATAGTTAATCTTTGAAGGAGCAGAAAACACTTCCTGTTGCTCAGGTTTACTCTGTGTTTGAATGTAAATGTTGCTCCATGTCTCCATCTAGTGGACTGATAGTAGAAGTGCAGCAGCTGATGGCAGCTTCCTCTGCCTCTCTGCTGTCTGACTGCATTCACCTGACACTGATATGAAGCAGAGAAGAAGAGCCAATCAGAGGAGGAGCAGCTGATCTTTTTCCAGCACTAATGATGTAAAGGATGATCAGAGTTGATGTGCAGATGAATGATGTGTGTTTCCTCTGCAGGTGAAGCTAGAAAGTGTGTGAGCTGATGTGGATTCAGCAGCATGGATCAGTGTGAGGACAGAGAGGAGGGAGTCCCTCCCTCTAAAACCACTCTGTGTGGGGAAGATGAGAGCCAGAGCAAAGGTCAGAGGTGAGGTCACCATCTCTAACTGTCCACAGCCCTTTTCACACAGCGTTCACTATATCAGGCCAGAACAGACGTGGTGATGAAGCTGCTGCTGCTCTCCTCTTTGCTGATTAAGTTTTAATCATCATGTTTCTGTCAGGATCCATCAGAGACTCAAACCAGAACCAGAACCAGAACCAGAACCAGAACCAGAACCCAGCTGTGTGTCCTTGAAGAGCGACTGGTCAAAGGAAGACCAGATTAACTTTAAATCTCCTGGATCTCCACCATCAGAGAGGTGAGATGTTTCTAACTGCTGTAACTTCTGTTTATATCTGTTATTGTGGCCATGTGATGATACCAAGTTCTCTTGGGTTTTATATTATATTTGATATTTGCCTCTTTCTCTAAAATCTGACAAAAGACAGATTCATTCTGAAATAAAACATTTTCTATGAATTATTTTTATGATTCCACCTCTGAAGTTCAAACATCATCCAACATGGCAGATTATCAACCATTTCTACAGTTAAACTGAATATTTAGTGGATCTGATTGAGCAGTGGGCTTCAGTGTCTCTAATGGACCATCTGGTTCTGATTGAAGCTCCATCAGATCCTCCTTGGATGGTCAGAGTAGAAAGGACTCCTGGTTCTGCTCCTGTCAGAACTCAACACTAATCACCAAACTGTTCTCTCAGTCATTTAAACCAACCTGTTGGTCTCAGAAACTGATCTTTCTGCTCTTTAAAGAAGGCTGGACATTATTCAGGAGGATCAATGATCAGGAACATGTTGGAGGATTGGACCGGTTCTGATAGGAATCATTTAGAAACATCAGGTTGATGATCTGTCTGGTTCTGGTTTTGATTTTGTTTTATTTTACAGTCACATAAAAATTATCTTGAAAGCAAACAGAAAGTTTCTAATGAGAGATTTTCTTTCAGGATCCATCAGAGATTCAAACAAGAATCAGAACCAGAACCCAGCTGTGTCTCCTTTAAGAGTGATGGGTCCATGGATCCTCCTTTTGCTGACTTTAAATCTCCTGGATCTCCATCATCAGAGAGGTGAGCTGTATCTAATTGCTGTAACTCTGGAAACTGAACCAGTAAGAACTCAGATGTTTCCAGTTATATTTCCAGAGGTTTGATCCATTATCTACAGAAATCATCTGCTCTGTTCTCATGAAACACCTTCATATCTTTATCTCTGGATGTTGATGATGATGTTCTGTTGCTTCCTGGCTCCATGTCAGACTAACAGTGGATCACATTTCCACTGGGAAATACCTGGTAAAGCCATTCTGGTCCATCAGGACTTGGTTCCTGTGTGCATTGTGAGAGCAGTTCAGCAGGGAAGGAAAGCTTCATGATGTGGTTGGTGAGATCTGCTGGAACTCAACCAAACTGAGCTGATGTGGACCATCAGAGGTTCTGCTGGTTCTTAATGGGATCAGCAGGAACATTAAACTTTACAACATCCAGGAGAGGATCCCACATGGACACACCCACATATTTCAGTCCTCCTCCATGTCCACATCATCTCAGATCTAGTCATCAGAACCTGATGGATGTCCCACACTGTCCTGAAGACCTGTGTGGACAGAGCCTTCACTTCCACTGTCCCCAAGCTCTGGGAAATTGTCTCCACCAGCATCAGATCTGCTGACAGTTTGGACTGTTTGAAGTCCAAGTTCAAAATCAACATTTTAAAATGGTTCCTGGATTATTCTGGTGTTACTGGTATTCATCAGTGTAGATAATTTTCCTCTTCCTCACTTTGAATTGTGTTTGTGTGATGATATGTTTTTCTATATTAGGGACTTTTAATGTGAAACTCCTGGTGATTTCCTCTGTGAAAACTGCTGGATGAATATTTCCTGACTTCCTAATTGTTCCTGGTTCCTCCACAGAGTGGACCAGCAGAGCTCAGAGGTTCCCAGTGGTCCATCTGTCCAGCAGCATCAAACACAGCTGGACTCCATATTTATGGTCTGTATATGAACAACAATTATTTTTCATTAGTTCTGTTCAAAATCACCTTCATGCTGCACTTTGTAGACCAGAGGACTGTCAGTCTGTCCAACATCCATCTGGTGTTTGGCTCCATGATTTCACTCTGACATTTCCTTCATCTATTATTCTGTTCCAGCTGCTGGAGGACAACATTGTTACTTTTGTGAAGAAAGAACTGAAGAAGATCCAGAAAGTTCTGAGTCCAGATTACCTAGAACATTCAGAGAGTCAGAGAGATGATGATGTGTTGGAAGGTGATGATGAAGAGCAGAAGAGGAGCAGCAGAGAGGCAGTGATGAAGATCACATTGAACTTCCTGAGGAGGATGAAGCAGGAGGAGCTGGCTGACCATCTGCAGCTCAGTAAGTACATTTGATGGATAAATTACACATTTGCTGAAGCGATGTAATCAAATTCAAAATATGATTATTTGTTTTTTGAAATCTGATTTTCATTGTGTTAATTTAGGACTTTTTGCTGCAGTTTGTCAACATAAACTTAAATCTGGTCTGAAGAAGAAGTTCCAGTCTGTGTTTGAGGGGATTGCTAAAGCAGGAAGTCCAACCCTTCTGAACCAGATCTACACAGAGCTCTACATCACAGAGGGAGGGACTGGAGAGGTCAATGATGAACATGAGGTCAGACAGATTGAAACAGCATCCAGGAAACCACACAGACCAGAAACAACAATCAGACAAGAAGACATCTTTAAAGTCCCACCTGGAAGAGATCAACCAATCAGAACAGTGATGACAAAGGGAGTGGCTGGCATTGGGAAAACAGTCCTAACACAGAAGTTCACTCTGGACTGGGCTGAAGACAAAGCCCACCAGAACATCCAGTTCATATTTCCATTCACCTTCAGAGAGCTGAATGTGCTGATAGAGAAAAAGTTCAGCTTGGTGGAACTTGTTCATCATTTCTTTAGTGAAACCAAAGAAATCTGCAGCTTTGAACACTTCCAGGGTTCTGTTCATCTTTGATGGCTTGGATGAGAGTCGACTTCCACTGGACTTCCACAACAAGGAGATCCTGACTGATGCTACAGAGTCCACCTCAGTGGATGTTCTGCTGACAAACCTCATCAGGGGGAAACTGCTTCCCTCTGCTCTCCTCTGGATAACCACACGACCTGCAGCAGCCAATCAGATCCCTCCTCAGTGTGTTGGCATGGTGACAGAGGTCAGAGGGTTCAATGACCCTCAGAAGGAGGAGTACTTCAGGAAGAGATTCAGAGATGAGGAGCAGGCCAGCAGGATCATCTCCACATGAAGACATCACGAAGCCTCCACATCATGTGTCACATCCCAGTCTTCTGCTGGATCACTGCTACAGTTCTGGAGGATGTGTTGGAGACCAGAGAGGGAGGAGAGCTGCCCAGAACCCTGACTGAGATGTACATCCACTTCCTGGTGGTTCAGACCAAAGTGAAGAAGGTCAAGTATGATGGAGGAGCTGAAACAGATCCACACTGGAGTCCAGAGAGCAGGAAGATGATTGAGTCTCTGGGAAAACTGGCTTTTGATCAGCTGCAGAAAGGAAACCTGATCTTCTATGAATCAGACCTGACAGAGTGTGGCATCGATATCAGAGCAGCCTCAGTGTACTCAGGAGTGTTCACACAGATCTTTAAAGAGGAGAGAGGTCTGTACCAGGACAAGGTGTTCTGCTTCGTCCATCTGAGTGTTCAGGAGTTTTTGGCTGCTCTTCATGTTCATCGGACCTTCATTAACTCTGGAGTCAACCTGATGGAAGAAAAACAAACATCTGAGAGCCTTTCATTATCTAGAGACTCTAAACTAAATTCTCTCCATCAGAGAGCTGTTGACCAGGCCTTACAGAGTCCAAATGGACACCTGGACTTGTTCCTTCGCTTCCTCCTGGGACTTTCACTGCAGACCAATCAGAGACTCCTACAAGGTCTGCTGACACAGACAGGAAGTAGCTCACAGACCAATCAGGAAACAGTTCAATACATCAAGGAGAAGATCAGTGAGAATGTGTCTGCAGAGAAAAGCATCAATCTGTTCCACTGTCTGAATGAACTGAATGATCGTTCTCTAGTGGAGGAGATCCAACAGTCTCTGAGTTCAGGAAGTCTCTCCACAGATAAACTGTCTCCTGCTCAGTGGTCAGCTCTGGGTTTCATCTTAGTGTCATCAGGAAAAGATCTGGATGTGTTTGACCTGAAGAAATACTCTGCTTCAGAGGAGATTCTTCTGAGGCTGTTGCCAGTGGTTAAAGCCTCCAACAAAGTTCTGTAAGGACACACATTGTTACTGTAGTTATTTGATAGGTAAAAATCTGCTAATTATGAGGTAAATATTCATGTTTTCAATGTCTCTTCAAAGTTTCCCATTGCAGGGGTGTTAAAAAAAACACAGATTTCCTTCAGCAACTGGACATAGTGTTTACATATTAAAGCAGCAAATTCCTCCACTGTTAAAAATGAAATAGGAATTTTGTGGGATTTTATAATGCTCTTTCCAGCCTCCTTGTTACCTGTAATTCAGTCCTGGAGGTCCAACTATAGAATGAACCAGTTCACAACAAATGCAAAGGTTGTGTAAAATAAGATAGATCCTTCCATTTAGTTCATAGAGGAATTTCATATTTCTCTTGCCAGCCTCCTTGTTGCCTTTAGTTCAGTCCTTCATGGCTGGAGACCCAAATATAGACTGAACCAGTTCACAACAAAAGGCAACATGATTATATATAAAACAGTCCATTAAATCAGTAAAGAGGAACATTGTTGACAGGAAAAAGACATTTTGAAGAATTGTATTAATACCATATTTTCCTCCCTGTCTCCTCAGACTGAGTGGCTCTAACCTCTCAGAGAGAAGCTGTGAAGCTCTGTCCTCAGTTCTCAGCTCCCAGTCCTCCAGTCTCAGAGAACTGGACCTGAGTAACAACAACCTGCAGGATTCAGGAGTGAAGCTTCTCTCTGCTGGACTGAAGAGTCCAAACTGCAACCTGGAAACTCTCAGGTAAAATGTTCTCCATCCTGATGAAACCAGATTTCTGTCCATTATATTCTATCAGTTATGATGCAAATGTTTTCTCAATAATAGAATAAAATATTAATAGATGTCTTACTGTGAGATGGATGTTTCCCCATACATTGGTTTTCTCAATTTTTTTTTTTTTTTTACCAAACATGAGTTTTGTTTGTATGACAATTTTATACAATCCTTTTATTGAACAATTTGATTCTTGTTCAAATAATAATTTTTATCAGTTGCTGCTCAGTTTTCCATCTCTGTATCCAATAGTTAAACATGTAAAGATGAAACTGTAGATTTGCTCTGCTTTGATTCAAGCTGCTGTTTTCCCTCAAACCAGCTCTGATGCTGATCCTCAAACTGAGCCTGATGCTGATCTTCAGCCCAGCCTTGATTCTCAGGCTTCATTGGACTCTTTCTGTTAAAACTGACATGGATTCATTTAGTTCATAGAGGAATTTAATTTTCTCTTGCCAGCCTCTTGTTGCCTTTAGATCAGTCCTTTATGGCTGGAGAAAATATAGAATGACCAGTTCACAACAAGCAAATGATTATATATAAAACAGTTCATTAAATCAGTAAAGAGGAACATTGATGACTGAAAAATAATTTTGGAAATTATTTAGACATATTTTCCCCCTGTCTCCTCAGACTGAGTGTCTGTAACCTCTCAGAGAGAAGCTGTGAAGCTCTGTCCTCAGTTCTCAGCTCCCAGTCCTCCAGTCTCAGAGAACTGGACCTGAGTAACAACAACCTGCAGGATTCAGGAGTGAAGCTTCTCTCTGCTGGACTGAAGAGTCCAAACTGCAACCTGGAAACTCTCAGGTAACTCTGGGCCGTCCGTCCGTCCGTCCGTCCGTCCGTCCGTCCGTCCGTCCGTCCGTCAGTCAGTTCAGACCTTGGTTTCTACCTCAATCTTCTCATTTTCTCATCATGTGATGAATTGTGTGTCTGCAGCTTATCAGGCTGTTTAGTCTCAAAGAAAGGCTGTGCTTCTCTGGCCTCAGCTCTGACCTCCAACCCCTCCCATCTGAAAGAGTTGGACCTGAGCTACAATCATCCAGGAGACTCAGGAGTGAAGCTGCTGTCGGCTGGACTGAAGGATCCACACTGGAGACTGGAAGCTCTCAGGTATGGAGGAACCTGCTGCAGGAGCAGAGAAGGTCTGATAGAGGAGGAAGAGGGAGAAATGTCTTTAGTCAGTCTGCTGGGAAACATTTAGTTTGAAGCTGAATGTTTAATTTGATAATTAAATATTTAGACGCCTCATCTGGAGGCAGAGATCATCACCCAGTTTTCTGGAATATTTCCAGACTAAGAACGGATCACAAGGAAAATTAAAGAGTGAGATGGTTTAATAGTTTAATAGGGACTCTGACTAAATTAATAACAAAGTTCAGTTAGATTTCATGATGATCTATTGATGCAGAAAGACTTTAAAACAATATTTGATGGAGCTCCAGACCAATCAGCCCCAAGAAGCAAAGATGAGAAGAAAAGTAACTCCATGTTGGTCAGATGGATGTTTAAAGTTCTGGGAGAGAAAAATAAAAAAACTTTAGATTTTATACAAAACTCACAACTTTCAGGATTTAATAAAATATAAATGACATAAAATGTGAAGAAAACAATTCATGAGGCAAAGAAAGAAAGTGAGAATTTTAACAGTTTCATCCATTTAGTAGTTTGATCTCCACCAGGGGGCGACATCTGGAAATGATCAAAGAATGAAAGGAATCAGGAGAGAATGGAAATCCCTTGTTTTCTAGAGGAAATGAAGAATTGCAGTGAATGATGGTGAAAAAGTAGAATTGTGCTCTGTTGACTGGTAGAAATTAAAAAACAATAATAAAACCTTTTAGACAGATCCAAGAAAAGACAATGTGTTCAGGTTTCCAGTCGTTGGAAAAACTTTTGGGAATGTTCAATAAAGTTTGGGAAAAATTCCCAACGTGTTGGAAAACCAGGAAAATCCATCCGACCAATCAGATTCCAGATCCACAGCTCTGACGTCACATTTAGGATCAATAATGGAATGGTAATAAGAGAAAGAATCAGATTTTATTGATAAAGTAGAGGGATGATATCAGCCCATCAGATGGTTTAGAAGAGGAGAGGAAGCATCATGGGACTGCAGAGGTCCTTCACCTGATCCTGTTGTTGGGACAAGAACTTTGTTCCTGAACTTAAGGACATTTTTCATGTTTCTGTACGTAAGTAGATTTAATCCTGGGAACTTTTACTCCACTACATTTTACAGTATCTGTACTTTCTACTTCACTACATTTCTATAAATTGTTGTGTTACAAGTTACATCCAAGTCGCTTTGAGCTTTTTGATTTGTTGGTTAGTTTGAAAGTAATCAATGATTCTGGTGCCTTTGCCTCCCTGATATCATGAACTGATAACTTTCAAAAATTCAACATCAAATCTGAAAAACATGTGGAGGCAAGTTAAGCTGCTAAACGCTGTCTGAAATTTTCAGGGTAAGATGTAGCCTTCACATGTCTCATTCATGTTTTGCTACACTAGTAAACATATGAACTTTTATCAGTCTATTCCAGGGTTGGCAATTCCGAGGCCTCAAGGTCTCCTGAAACCTTTAGATGTGTTTCTACTTCAACACACCTGAGTGAAATAATGAGGTCATTAGCAGGACTCTGCAGAACTTGACTGCATTTAGGAGGTGGTTCAGTATTTGATGCAGGTGTGTTGGACCAGGAGAAACCTAAGAGTTGCAGGACACCGTCCCTCGAGGACCGGGAATGCCCACCCCTGGTCTTTACTCTTTCTGAACTTATAGGCCAGGGGTGGGCACTCCAGGTCCTCGAGGGCCGGTCTCCTGCAACTTTTAGATGTATCTCTACTTCAACACACCTGAATCCAATAGCTGAATCACCTCCTAAATGCAATCAAGTTCTCCAGAGACCTGCTAATGACCTCATTATTTGACTCAGGTGTGTTGAAGTAGAGATACATCTAAAAGTTGCAGGAGACCGGCCCTCGAGGACCTGGAGTGCCCACCCCTGTTATAGGCCCTATTCACATGTGCCACTCAGGCTGCGTTCCAAACTCTGTTATTCTTACATCAATTTGATACATTAGTTCCCCAATGTCGGTCCTCGAGGGCCGGCATCCTGCATGTTTTAGTTTTCTCCCTGATTTAACGCGCCTGGATAATTTGATGGCTCGTTAGACGCCTAAGAAGAACATTGACATGCTGAAAAGCTTGATACTACCAGCAGGGAGGGAACTAAAACGTGCAGGATGCCGGCCCTCGAGGACCAACTTTGGGGACGCCTGCATTAGGGGCTTCCGCATTTCCCATACATATGTCCTGGGTCACTTTTTAGCTGTTAAACGGTTTAATCTGTTGTTTAACAGGTCCGTAACCTGGTTTTCTGAGCCGCCTTCAAACGCAACATGAACGCTGAGATGCTCGCGCGGGTCGTTTTACGGGAGTAGGGGGCAGTAAGGTTGTATGTGTTTAGGGTCACTCCCGTGTCAGGGAGTGATCTCGCAGAAATGGATGAGGGTTGTGATGGCGGGGAAAATGAAGGAACATGGAATATTCAAAAGCTAAAAACAAACGCAGAAAATCGAGACAATAAACAGAATCGTCTCTTTCTGAGGCAGAAGGAGAAACAGTTGTGATGACAGACTTTAAAATAGTCTAGAAAACGGTCAACGAGGGTGTGTCCTTTGGTACGTGGAATCTAATAAAAATTACTATAGAAATTACCTCACTGGTTGGAAAAGTGAAACATGTTAAAGTGATGAGAGATGGATCTTTATTGATCATTTGTAATGATGTTAAACAAAAAGAAAGGGCACTCAATTGGAAACTTCTCATCAAAGAGGTCAAAGGTCACATGTGGGGTACCCCAAGGTTCAGTCCTAGGACCCCTCTTATTCAATATTTATATTCTCCCACTAGCTCAGGTTATAACAGGAAATAATATTAGCTACCATAACTATGCGGATGACACACAGCTCTACATTATGATGTCACCAGGTGACCTTTGACCCCATCCAATCACTGAATAAATGCTTAGAGCAGATAAATGTGTGGATGTGCCAAAACTTTCTCCAACTGAACAAAAATAAAACTGAAGTCATTATTTTTGGACCTAAAGAGGAACAATCTAGAGTTATAGATCTAGAGCTATAGATCTAGAGCTATAGATCTAGAGTCAATGCACAGCTTCAGTTATTACAACTAAAAACTAGCGATCAGGCCCGAAACCTGGGAGTAGTGATGGACTCGGACTTGAACCTCCAGAGCCACATAAAGACAGTACAAAATCAGCCTTCTATCACCTGAAGAACATCTCCAGGATTAGAGGACTAATGTCTCAGCCAGATCTAGAGAAACTCATTCATGCGTTTATCTTTAGTCGCATTGATTATTGCAACAGCATCTTCACAGGCCTGTCCAACAAATCAATCAAACAGCTGCAGCTGATCCAGAAGCTGCTGCTCCTGTTCTCACTAGAACCAGGAAGATAGAGACATAACAGCAGTTTTAAAGTCCCTCCACTGGCTCCCTGTAGCTCAAAGAATAGATTTTAAAATACTGTTAGTTTATAAATCACTGAACGGTTTAGCACCACAATACATCAAAGATCTGCTGTGTGTTGTATCAACCTTACAGACTCTCAGGTTCTGGTTCTGGTTCTGCTCTGCATCCAGAACCAGAACCAAGAGAGGAGAAGCAGCTTTCAGCATCTATGCACCAAAAATCTGGAACAAACTTCCAGAAAATTGTAAAACAGCTGAAACCCTGACTTCCTTTAAATCTTAACTAAAAACAGACCTGTTTAGAGTTTTATTTGAAATGTAATATGTATGGATTCGTATTTGTGGATATTTATTTATTTATTTATTTATTTCTTCCTGTTGTGGGCAACGGGGCCCGGCGAATACCCGTGGTTAAACGGACGGCGGAGTCTGGTGGTAACAGGCGCTTAAATTCCGTGACAAAAAGAAGGAAAGGAAAAAAAGAAGAAAAAAAAAACACTTGGTATTTTATTCTATGTTGCATGACTTTGTGTTTTGTGTTTATGATGTAAAGCACTTTGAAATGCCTTGTAGCTGAAATGTGCTATACACATAAAATTTGATTGATTGATTGAATATTAAAAAAGTCTTAGGTGAGAATGTAAGGGGAGAATGTTGGATAAAAGGAAATGTATATGGCGTAATTTCAGGTATTTCTCCTGATGTGCCAGTTGATGACATTAAATATGTCAGGAGGGAAAGTAGTTGAAGTCAGATGGTTGAAAAGGAACCAGGATGGAGAAAGGAGTGATAGCTTTTCTGTCATGATAAAGTTTGAAGAGAAAACTACCAGACAAAGTATTTGTGGGATATATGAGTTATGATGTTCAACCATTTATTCCTCCGCCTCTACAGTGTTTTAAATGTCAAACATTTGGACATGTTGCAGTGGCATGCAAGGGGAAACAGAAGTGTGGGAGATGTGCTGGGGATCATGAGTATGAGAAATGTGAGGAGGGAGATCATTTAAAATGTTGTAATTGTGGAGGTGAACATAGTTCAGGTTTCAGGACATCCCCTGTCTACTAGAGCTCCCCCTGTACAAGAGCTGCAGAAGTACAGAAAATTAAAATTACTAATGGGATCCCTTCTGTAGAAGCGGCTGAAAAAGTGCCTGTCCAACCAATGATGCATCCAAAGAAAGTGATGGGGTAGAAGAAGGAAGTTTAATTGTGGAATGCAATAAGATTAAAGTTGACACTATTCATGAGGAAAGAGGATTTAGTTTTATTCATGGTGGAGGTTATAAATTGCACTGATCAAACACAAAGGAAAACAGAAAAAATTCAAATCATTGTGAAGGCAGCACAAAAGTATCTTAATTTAAGAATGCTAGCTGGGAGTCAAATAAGGAAAAACTGAATGAGACTCAATCTTCTTTATTTTCATCATGCAGTGGTGGCCCTTCTTCTTCATGTTAGTTATATTCCATTTAAATGCAAGAAGTCTCATTAGTAATGGTCTGGAGTTCAAGAATACATTTCTGATTTGATAATTAAACCTCATTTGATCTGCATTCAAGAAACTTGGCTTAAGCCCCAATTAGAGTTTGTAATCCCTGGATATTCAAC